CGCTTAGAGCTCCAGTAAAAAGTACATTATCGGATTACGACCCTGAGAAACTTTTTATCCAGGTGATGTTGCAGCTGAAAATCTTGGCTGTAAAAGTAATAATTCATGCTTTTTTGCCAAAATGTGCAAATAGCTCTACTGCTGCAAAATTTTAGCAAAAAAAGTAAGATTTTTTGATTCTGAAAGAAGGCAGCTCATGGTTTGCTCGTAAACACTAATGAAGATGTGTAATCCGTGCAGAGAACTAGACAGGGATAAGCTCCCCTAAGTGTTTTCGTCATAATTCTTGGCTCCTTGTCACCGTGGTAACCAGGTACAGGATGCCTAATCGGCCTCAGCAATCATCCACAAAAACTGCACATTATATTGCAAGCATGAATGCTGACGAATTTCGGCTTTTCACAAAAGCGGCATATGTACGAAATTGCTGCTAAGCTTTGTAAAAGTCTGGAAATTTCTCAGTGTTAGAGATTTGCAGCTTTCGTACCGAAAAGGGCAAAACCTGAAAGTTTAAGTTCTACGCAGACACATTCTTTTTTCAATTATTCCTAAATTCGGATTAGGATAAGAGAAACGGTCAAGAAAAACATTGAAAAATACAAAAATATTTTTTTAAATATATAGACCATGACGATATGTTTCCTACACATAGCATTCTGTATTCTTCACTACTAACATAAACGATAGAATTTATTTCGGAAGAACACTAATATGACTGATGTAAAATTTGAAATACAAATCAGTAATTTTTAGATATTCTTGAAAGGGATGTCGAAGAAGACTTAGAACAAGAGGAACTCCATATAAGCAAAAGTACGGAAAGAACAGTTGATACTACTCAATTACTACGTACTTAATTTTTGTTTGACCTCAAACTCTTTAGCACAGTAATTTCATTTGACACTTTCGATTGATGGCCACCACTTATTTTACAGAATTTTTGCTTTTGTTTTTTTTTTCAAATGTTTCTGTATCAAAGACTCTGACAACCTCATAGTAGTCCAAAAAATTTACCACTTATCATCAGCTACTCACCCAGAAATGTTTTTGGGATGGATTTGAGCTGGCACTAATTAGTTTTACATGAAAACCGTCAAATTCCCCACTCCCCCCCCCCCCCCGACCCTATTTTCTTGCTAAGGCTGCTCCTTCCAGAGGTAAATTGGAAGAGATGCTCACAAGATATGAAACTCATGTTTTTTTTCCAAGTTGAGACTTCACTCAATTGTGCTTTGAGCCTTGGAATAAGAAACTATTGCTACCTCGCTGCTTTGATATTTGTATTAGACTTTGAAAGCACAAATGTTGTTGAGCTTTTTTTTTCTAAGCATTTCAATCTGCATAAAATCAAATTCTATCTGTTTATTCTTCGCTCTGTTACAATGATTTTCAGTAAAGGTCTTTTGTCGTTCGGTCACTGTTCGTGGACAGTTCACTTGAGTTCTTTTGAGTTCGAAAGGTACAAGCTACATGAAGAAACTCACAAATTTGGACGGCAGAGTTGCAGCCATGCTAAAGCTTATGATACTCGATGAAATTCTGTGTGAAACCTTTTGCTCAGGCATCCACGACTATTTGGTTCTGTCATAATCGACAGCTCGTTTTTGAAGACTATGTGCATGTTCGTTTATGACCTAATTGTAAAAAAGCATAATTTACATTTTAAAGATTTACAAGTAACCTACAACGAAAATTAAGGAATATCGAACAATAAATACATTTTTAATATCTGACCATTGTATTTTCCTCCTTTCCATACATAACCTAAAAATTTGAAGCTTCAAGCGCTGCTTCAACTACGAATTCAGACAATCGAAATAAAAGTGTTTTTCCTTCCCCCGTTTTTCGACTTTTTCCAGAATGAGTGTTTTTTTTTTTGAGGATTTGATGTGCTTATGAAAGAGTAGGCTGCGTGCTTTCCATAAATTTTCCAAACTGCTTCCGAAGGGGCCGGCTTTCTAAAAGATCTGCCTGAACTGAGAACTACGAGTTCACATTTCCAATTCATTATAGTTTTGTCAAAACGCTGCAGGCGAGCTGCGAAAATTCATACACGTTGTTCTGGAGACGACACTTATGATAAATTATGAAAGTTTTCGCAGGCATTTAAGTCTTGATATAATTTGTTTATTTCGATTACCTTCGAAAAACAAGGCACTTGCAAGAGAATTGATATCAAAAATTTTAAACAGTGCTTCGCTAGTTCAAGGAAAATTGTTCACAAATGTAAGCTTTTCCTCTATGGTGATTATCCATTGGTTTTGCAAAATTCAACAATAGAAAAGAGAAAATTCGGAGAAAAGCAATGGTGAAATGATGCAATAAAAGCTTCCGCAATTTAATATTTAGACTCTGATTGAAAATTTTGTTTCTGAGCTTTTGCTGGAAAGAGAAAACAATAACTTATCAAGTACATCAGACCTTTTCTGGGTCGTTGTTTTTTGAAATCAACGTCTACTCAAACTGAGTGAGCTGAAATGACCTGAAAGTTTTTTGAGTGACCTGAAATTATGAAGTTAGCAGATATTAGCCCCCTGTTGTATAGTTGATTAATTCAAGATGCTAAGGAAAATTATGTCATTGAAGAATTGCACGCATGCAGCTTCCGGACAGACAGTTTTAACGATAATTAATTTTTCCCTTGCTACTTCTAACAGAGATCATAGCAGATAGGTAAGAAAATCTGCGTTGACCTTTTTGCGCTCTGATCGAGCTCATTCATATGGGAATAGAAATACGGGCTCACACAATGAGAAACTACATTCTCACCAATCAGCTAAAGTGACTAAAAGCAATGAAACAACACGGCTGTGTCGGAGCACCTGCTGTATATCCACTTCTGAGAAAAAGAAAATTTACGACAAATGTGGGAGGTTGTTCTACAAGACTTTTCAAGATTTCCATTTGAATGAATTTAGAAAGAAGAGAAGAAATTGCCATAGCGACGTGATTTATACGCAGACAATGCTCATAAATTTTATTGAGCAGAAAACTTGAATTTTTTCCGAGGACAGTCCATGAGTTCAGAAGAGCAGGATTTTCTGCCCCATTCAAAGCGTTGAATTAGATTGATTCGTAAGTCTTACACCAAACTCATAAAATCTAATCTCTGCCACACCCAATAGATTTGTTTGAAACGAAATATCTCAAAGAAGAGAAGTCAGCGTTTTTCATTCAAATAATCCCAACCTTTATTAAAATTTTCCGCCAACTAACTACTTTTTCAATCAAAAACTGTGCTGCTTGGACAAGTCTACCCGAAACCATTATTTCTGAGATTATTTGACTGTTAAATTTGCTCTGAAAAATCTTGAACAAGCAATAATTACAAGTAATAGTAACAATGGCAATACAACATATGTCAAAAAATCTACGCTACAAATTAGAACACTTTCTCAATTTCAAGAAATTTTCGTAATTGATGCAAGACTTATGGATCGACCTAGTAATAACATAAGTTGGCAGTCGATACACTTAATGCATGCTTTTTTCGAAACATACACGTGATATTTCAATCCTATTATATTTCCCCTTATTTGCAATCCGCAAATCTAAAAACATCCTATGCTGAAATTTACAGCCTGAAGTCATGAAATGCAATATTCAAGGCTTTTGTGCTAAAATGGCAAGTTTGTAGTGCAGACAGGAAATTACTATAACCATGTGGAAAGGAAACATGCTTAAAGACAAACGAACGGCAGCTAGCTGTTTTACAAAATCTATTCATAATGGAATCATTCTGAAGGATGAGGGAAAGCACATAGATTCAGATACCGCCGAATAGGTTAAAATAGTATCTCATTCCATTTGATTCCAATAAGTGAATACCTAATTATAAAGATATGCAATGTGTGATGCACTAGGTTGCACACATCATCAATTTAAATTTTTTCTACAGAACGCGTCGGCTCTTGGTGCAGGAGGAAATGAGAAGATATCCCCGGGGATACGGCAATTCATCAGTTCAAGTTCTCATTATATCTGTATTACTGCAGCGATGTAGGGATACATATCTACTTTCAAAGAAATCAATCCTAAGTCTTTTGATCTCAACAGATGGCTTTTCTGTGCAAATCGATTTAGTCCCAAATTTGAAAAAAAAACTATAAAGGGCTTACTGGCACTGGCAGATTTCCAATAACTTTGGTCCGTCTTCGGACCAAAGTTATTGGAAATGCTTGTACTCCAGAAAGTTTTAGTGAATTATACTTCCGCGAAAGTCTACAGAATTTGTAAATTTCCGCGGCACAGACAGGATGACCTTGTGCAGATCAACGTTGAACTAACAATCTCATTTCAACTTTCCTTGTTATTTAAATAGCAATTTAGTATTTGCAAAATTTAGCGTATTCAACTTCCCTTGGGGAACTTTTGCAGTCTCCTATAAATCCTCATTGCCCTTAGCTCAAAAATGAGCATCGCGGTGGAAAATTTTCAACTATGTGTTGCAGGAAACTTTACATCCCAGTCAGTGACAGTTGGATGTCTTTTGCATCAAGTACGTCCTCTCGACTGCAATGGAAGTAAAGGCTGCTGCATGACAAGGGCGCAGAAGCAGTATTAGTTGAACGGGCGCGAACGCGGCGCGCACGTATCCTCACCGTTGTACATCCTGCGCCTCATGCGCTCTGCGGCCATTATGGCCGCGATCCCAGGTACTGCGCCTTCGCCATGCAGCAGCCTTTAAATAATTTAGCGGAAGAGGGCGGAGTTAACCAAGGGAGAGGGGCTGTCCACGCTTTCAGAATCTTTTAAATATTGGTTACATGTTACCTACATATGAGCAGATGCTTATACGGATAAATCAGTAAGCTCTGAAATTACAACCTCATAAATGCCAGTAGACAACCGAAAAAATCAATGCATGTATACAGTTATTCGCCACGAAAGATTTATTCAGCTGGCTTCAATGATAAAAATAAAATTATATAACGGAAGAAAGTGTCGCAGTTGATTTTTTTCTGAGAATGAGCAGCAGTGCAAGTGCCATTCAGCTTAGATTATTCAACTAAACTCGGCTGAAATAAAAACTTGAGCATTCAAATTCTTGGAGTTCTTTTTCGAAAATTCAAAATATAATTAAGAAAAACTGCGCAACAACTATACTATTAAGCTATTACCAGGAACATAGGTAAGATAACGTTTGCCTAACAAGGGTTGACTTACTGTCAAGCAGTCAAAACTTAGTAAATGAATGTCCTTCTGAAAAATGAAGAGAAAGTATTACCTTTTCCGCTTCTACCTCCTCCCGCTGCACGAAGTGTTCCAGCTGACACCTGCAAACACAAAATCGAATTTTTTCTTGACAACGATTCAGAAGAACTTTTCATGAAATTGCATGTGCTCACATCTACCCCTCCATCAACAGGGGTTAACGAAGAGAGACTGAAAATTCTACGAACTTACGGTATAACCTCCCAATCATATGGGTCGCTTGGTTTCACATCTGGAGGGTGACAGCTTTCCAGCATTTTTGTAATCTTATCGTATTCGGGCATTGTCTCGTACTTCATCGATAGAACGTACTGAAATCATATTTTGAGCTTATCGCAATTATTGGTCGTGAATCTATAATGACAAATTCTTAAATTTTGGTGAAACCTGAAGGTGAGAAAATACCAGGCCAACATATTACTGAAAAGAAGCCCCGGAATTTGCAACAAATCATACATTTGTAAAATCTATAGTCTTGTGTGTAACTACGCGGACGGAGCATGTCGTATAAGTCTTTCAATTTGTAAACCTCCGTCTCATAGTTCATCTGATGTGGCTGTCCTCTCTCTCATCATGGACAAGTTGTAGATCGTCGTGCACCCTTTAGCCTTATAAAAACTTCACATTGCATTGATAGCATTGTTTGCCAGAAATTAATCGTGCACCAGCATTTCCGCTCCCGGGCGGGCGACTCGCTTAGACTCTCACGTCTTTCGCGAACATGCTCTCTTATCATTTCGAGCGTGGAAAAGGCGCAGCTTCAATCGCTAATATGGCGTGCGAAAATGATTAGAAAGCATAGAGTAGAATGAGTATTGAATAAGATATAATAAGATCAGGGAAAAAGGAAGTTTAAATTGTATACATAAATTTCACACACGACCGGTTTCGGGCCCAAGAACTAGACCGGTAGTGTAGCTTTCTTGGTGGCCCATCATCAGTAGTTCCCAAGAAAGTTGCAAAAGTGTAGAACTAAAATGATGGCTGAGAGTAGAATTTATGTAGAATGAGAATGAGAGGAAAATAAGAAGGGTCCTAATAAGTGTGGAGAGGAGACTATTAGAAGTCTTGGAAGAGTGTAAGTCCGACTAGCTCCGAATAGGTAGTAAGAAATCACAGATGGTACATCAAAATAATACAAGGTTTAGTCACTAGTCCTTTAACGCACATTCCGTGGAAATCAAACATACGATGTTAACGGGTACGGGTGGAGTCATGTTTTTTGCTAAGCGGCGTCTTAACGCAAAGTCAAGCGTTACAAGACTTAATATTCGTTAGTACTCCTGTCGTAATGTGCTATCGACTTATGTTATCCATTCATGTATCTGCCGTCACCTCCACCCTTTACATACAATTTTTTGGGTGCTATGAGCGACTACCGCGCACGGTATGACTTTTGACTTGGAGTTGATGTTAACTATCAAAATCTCACGGTTTCTTCCATTCAATGCAGCTGGATGGTACATCGAGATTGACGAAATGAGACTTCACTTTAAATTAATGTTTGCCTGCTCTAACGTTTAGGTGGGACATCATTTTGAAAGTATTACTATAAAAGCGGTTGAGGTCGTACTTAGAGATAATGTCTACTGAAATTTCCAGTATTGTAGTTAGCCATCTTCATGGTCCAGGGGACCGTCATGACTATTTGGATGCATGCAACTTCCCAATAACCGTGCGTTGGTATTTATCCATATCTCCCGCAGGTCTTGTATCAAAGGAAGATGTATAGCAGTAGGAAAGCCGTATTTACGTAAAATGAATGGTCTATCATAAAGTGTATGGTATAAAACAAGAGTAACTTTATTCCCATCCCATCCATTTCTAAGTGAAATTCGATAGAGTTCAAATATTCTATTTTTGAATTCAATATAACATGAACAGTTTCTGTAAATCCTGAGAACTTCCGACGTGAGTGTATTAATAAGTATATATCTTGGTATATTAGAAAGCCAATGTGGGTATCTAATGACCTCAAAACTGTAACTGTCGGTCTTGTTGTAAAGGTTAAATTTAACATTGTTGTTATAAGTTTCAATTGTAAGATCAAGGAAATTTGCTATTTTATTATTTGTATTTGTGCGTTCTATTTCAAGAGAGGAGTGGTAAATCTCTGACAGGACATTATCAATATCTGTTGAGTCAGAGACATGAAGTATGTCGTCTATGTATCTGTAAGTGTAATTGTACATGTATCTATTATAACAGTTTGTAATTGTCGCTTGTTTTTTCATGAAGTCATATTCCATATATGCTAATGTAAGGTCTGCAATTTGGGGACTACATGAAGCTCCCTGGGGTATGCCTCTTATTTGTTGATAGATTGTACCTCCAAAATATAGGAAACTGGATTCCAATAAGGAGTCTACCATATAAAAAATATCTTCCACTTGATAAAATTTACCTTGTGTTGTATTAGTACTAGCATATGTTACTTTGTTATTATAGATTTTGATGTATTTATAACCTTGCATACATAGGTTTATGAGTTTTCTGAGATTGTATTTAACTACTTCGTGAGGTAAGCTTGTGAATAAGCTAGAGAAATCTGCTGAATATAAGTTTAAATTCCCTTTTACTGCATATAAATCTTTTACAACTTGATTGCTATTTCCTATAGACCATAGATGTTTGACTTTTGTTCTCTGCCAGATAACGTTACAGTAATTTGTAAAGTGTTTTTTGATATGTGTTAATATCAAATGTATTGTATTGGTAAGTGGTTTAAGTATACTTTTTCTAGCCCCTGTTATGAATCTGAATTTTATGGGGTTCTTGTGCATTTTAGGGACATCATATATTCTAGGGATGTCATTAAACTTGGGATTGAATTTGATATTTAGTCCATTCATAATTCTTTTCTGTCTTGTGCGAATTTCTTCTTCTTGAAGTGTAGTAGTGATATATGTGCTTCCTTCTTTGTTAGACTGTTCCATTTCCTTTTTTAACATTATCAAATAAAATTTTTTACAAATGATACTAAAGTTAGAGTTTGCTTTGTCTATAGGTGCAATAATAAAATGTTGTTGTATCTTTCTAAGAGTTTCTTTGTCATAATCATCGTATCCTAGTTGTTTTTCATCATATAAATTGTATAATTTTGGTTTCAATTTGTTGATAAATTGTCTTTTTATATCATTTACTAACTGTTCTGCAATCAAGTTGTTTGCTTTGAGTTTACTAATAAATTTATTCGTTAACTCATTAATCAACTTATCTAAGATCAATTCAATATCTGTTTTAGTGACCAAAGTATGTTTTCTGTATTTTGTTCCTTTCCTTAATATTTCTCTTAATTTGTTGTCTTTTATAAATTCAAGTTCTCCTGTGCATATATGTTTATGATAGTTGTCCACAAACTCCATATATTTCCAACATTCACAATTTTGTCTTTCTAAGACTTCCATCGTAGTATCTTTAAATTTTTTAAGGAAACTGTTGTAATTGAAAATCTCAAGCCCAAGAGGTTTATTCAAAGTATATCTTATGACTACTTTGATGTTATCAAAATTCTCCTTACTTTGTATATTGATATAGTTTTTAATTGTTTCTCGTAGTTCTGAACTATTACATACTTTGGTAAGGTTGAGTCTATCCATTATGTTTCCCAAATATGGTATTGTTATAATTATGTCGTCTTTATTATGTTTTTTAGTGTTTGTTCTACCCCAAAAAGGTGTTGCTACTAGAGAGTATATCTTATATTTATGTTCAAAGGACAAGTCTGCAAACTCCGGGGTGAATGTAAAGTTAATTAATTTAGTGATGTCTTCTTTATTGAGTGTTCTAAAATAAGTGTATAGTGAATTACTTTGTAATTGATTGATGTTTGTTACAATTTCATTTGTTCTGTCTAGGCATATCCCTCTTTTCTTTGATCTTCTTTTATTACCTCTCTTCCTTGATCTTTTCACCGGATATCTGAAGTAAGGATGGTCTTTCTTTTCTAAAGGATTGATATTATCCGAGATGTTTCCAAAGCCTTTAATTTGATCATTGAACCCAAAGGGATAAGCAGTGACCATATATTGGATCCATTTTAATTCCTTTTCCCTTAAAACTTTTTTGATATTGTCCTTTTCAATTACGTGGTCTAATATTTCAATACTTATGTGTTCAGGATCATGTTTTGTGTCATTAAAATGGTTTACCATGAAGGTGTTTATGTTATGTTTTTTGAAACTATTTTGATGTTGATTTATTCTTGCTCTCAATGTCTGTGTTGTTTCTCCGACGTACTGAAGTTTGCATGTAAGACAAGTTATCATATAAATTATGTTCTTTGAGTCACAATTGGAGATGTCAGGTTTGTTTGTTCTAAACGAGAAATGTGTCGTTGAACTTCGTGAATGAGCGGTGAACAGCATTTTGTCACATATGTGGCACTTTTTCCTTTTGCATCTAATTCCCATTTTATCATTAGATTCGGGGTTGTCAACTAGTCTCAACCGGTTGTTTCCATTATGGTTATCTGACAAGGACAACATTAAACATTTATTATGCTGTGTGAAATTGTTTTTGTTAGTGGACCTCGATCCATTGAGTCAGAGGCGGTCCTTCCTGGACTCTTATGCAGTTTCCTTATCGGAGGGTATTTCCTCCTAGGTTAGGGCGAACCTCTTCATCGCTGGGGAGCGATACCCGTGGTGTAAACTGCGTTGGATAGTTTATGCCCAACACCACGTCAGGGTTCTCCCGAACTATTTTATGCTGTGTCAGTCAACTTTGTATCTTTGAGCACAGCGATTAACTATTTGCTATTATGTAACGATCCTGAGTGTGTATTGTGTATTATTTAAGTGTTTGAATTTACTTGTAGTGTGTTAAATTAGTTGCTCTGTGACTTATCAATCTATTCAAGTTAAACAGTGTAAAGCCTGCTGAGTTGTTTTCTATGTTATAATTAGATGTGTTACGGTCACTTTTTGTTATATCTTCAGAACTTCTTTATTGTAGAAGGTGTGTACAGATATGAAGTCAATTATTTATTGGAACAAGGGACCTCGATGTATATGTGAGCTTTAATGTTGCCGGTTTTTTGTTGTGTTATTGTTAGTGTTTTTATGTATGAGTCTTTTTCGTCACATTTATATCTAGTAACTGAAATATATTGTGAATTTTCATATCTTATAAATTTTTTGGGTTTTACTCTAATCTTAATTATGTTGTATTGAACGGGAGTCGTTACCACTTACACTAACATTTGTGTTGAACTTCACCAAAAGACCTTACGTCTTCTCTCACTCTTAATGCGAGAGGGTGGAAAAACGATCTAATAGCAATAATGTTGTGTAGTGGTGTAACAGTAAAGTGGAATGTAAATTTGGAAGTCTACAAAGATGTGTTAACATTTTGTAATGAAATATTTGATTTTCGATTCTTAAAAGCAAATGTATTTAAATTCAAAATCATCAATAAACAAGTGTATATTTAGTAGAGATTCAAATATATCTTAACTAACAAAACGAATAGATAGTAAAAGTAGTAATTGTAATTTTTTGTAATTTTAATGTGCATAGATTGGTGAATTCGTGTGTTGAATTGTGAATTGCATGTTCGTGAAAGGGATGCGGAATTCAAACGAGGCGGCCAAGCGGAGCGGAGATGCTGATGCACCCGACTCTGCAATTGATAAGCCCTGTACATCGACTAGCATGTCTCGTAAGCCAATCTCGTTCAGCTTATAGGATTTTTCTCTGTTTCCGCTTTTGCATACTATGTTCGGTTCATCCTACGACCTTCGGTATTTCGGCAGCGCGCTGAACTCACTACGGTTGACCGCACGGATATCTGACAGTTACAGCCTGGATGCATAGTAAGGTGGGCACTGGTAAGGTCAAATTTGCGAAATTGAGGTGTGGTGGTCAGCTCAGTTCAACAGAGTCGGGAAGGCTTACTTGGAACGTTGTTTCTAACACGGCCGAGGGACTAACACAGCACTGGCAATGTATTACTTGAATTAAATAATCAATCTTGCGTATTTATGCGATTGCACTAGTTTTACGTAATTGGAATGAGACCACTCGTACATATGCGAAAAAAGAAGGGAACAATTTCTATCTTTAGATTGGAGTGCGAAGTCTTCTTTCCCAAAGGATATCGAGTAACAAAAGTCATAACGGGATATTTACCTCAGCGAATTTCAGCATTTTTGGTTGATTTTTACATAGTTTGTCTACTGTTGTCTCTTTCTTACTGTCTCTTATAGCGTTTTCTTCTCGCATTTTACTCCACGGAAGACTTCCATCTCCAAGTTCAATCTAAAGGCGTCTTCTTTGAGGAGACTGTGTCAGTTAACTACTTGAATTTGCTTACTATAGAATACAGAAGCGCGACGAGATCGTGGTTTGGACCGAGATCGTGTCGAGCATGAGCTTCAAGACTAACGTATCGAAGCGTTCCTCGCATTCCAATGCTTTCACGAGCTTTGCGAATTTGTCCCGAATTGTCCAGATACTGCCTGGTCAATCCTAAATTGTTGTACTCTGTGCGAGGCAAATCAGTGGTTACGATTATATTACACGAAGTGAGGCTGTAGGAAGTAAGAAGATATACAGTCTACAGAATTTAAAGTCCATAATAGTGTCGCTGCGGTGACGACAATACTTGCGCGGAAACAAATGCCGTGTGGGTAATTTTCTTGCCGTTTGCCAAAAAGGCAATGGAGCGCACATTGGCTTACACGCGCAAACACTGACGGCCAGTGCTCTATATTGTTCAATCTACTAGGCTGGGATAAATATAACAGCACTTTTAACACTACCGTAATCTATCAAATAAATTCGTCTGACATCATCTGCTCCAACGCAGAAGTTAGACGGCTTTAAGTCTCTGTGTAGGAACCCAGCAGCATGGACTAGCGATAGAGCATGAGTGACCTAAAGCAGTTGAAGTCTTTAAAAAAATCTTATTTTATCAGAGATGCTAAGATACATCCGTGTAGAAAACATATTGAAACCTGAATTGAAGAACGATACAAAGATCCCGGTGAAAGTTTTCTTTCCGGTAGTTGGCGTCTGAGATCACTTAAATTTCGTCCTACAAGTTCCAAAATGATAAAATGACCCGTGGGACATGTTCCCATTGCCATTATTTCTGGTATATTTGCCTAAAACATCCATTTTCAATGTCTGAATGAGTGAAGAATGACTAACTTTGCCCCTCAGAAGCATTAGTACCATGATTTCCAGTTTCATTCGCTTTCGATCACATTTTTCGGATTCAATCTTGACAGCCCATCTTGTCTGCGTATCTTCGTGTATGGCTCTTAAAGGCAGTGCTTTGGGAAAATCGCGAATTGGGGATTTCCACAACTACATGGCCTTCTAGACCAGCTGAGTCAGGTAGTTTAAAAAGTCAAAAAGTACTTTTATGGCGTTTTCCGACCTTGGAGATTGCTGGAGAGGCGGGGCGATGGATTCCCGTCAACTGCATCGTATTGATTGCCTGGGCTGATCAGCCACTCAGACATTCGCGGTTGTCACCCGCAGGTTAAAATGGTGTGATCTCATTGACCAACGGCGCGTCACACGAAATCGGTGTCGGGGCAAAATCAGGTCACCTGTGTTTGCAGCGGGGTGACCTGCGAGAGACACCATAATGCCCCGACAGGGCATTCTCCGGTCATTATCAGAGTGACCTGCGGGAGACACCATAATGCCCCGATCCTTAAAGCAGCGGTTCACCCTGATGGGTACATATATAGTGGTACATATATATTAATATTAAGTATATAGTGGAACACACAAGTATAGAGTACATACTCTATACTGGTGTGTTTCACGTCTACCGCGCTGCCATCTTTCACTGTCCCTAACAAATCAAGCCATAGTATTTATTAAAAACTTCATGGTACAGAAAAATCTACATCAGCGCAAAATCAAATAAACTACATCGAGAGAACACTTGACAAAAAACAACTGGAATTGGACTAATGTGTGTCGTTCGCATCGGCTACTGCAATGTCGGCGTCCGTTTTTTCGATGATGTTCAAGTCAGTACATTAGATGTCCTGGGTTCTTCTGAAAAACATCAGTATCAGATGCGTAAACTTTTTGAGACGAAAGTTTTACCTTGACGCCTTTGTTGCATTCTTGTGCAAATTGTAGAAGTTCTTTGTCCGGTAGGCCAAAAGCGTCCAATACAAACCCTGAATAAACTATTCGAATTGATGTACAAAATGACGGAACAACCTACTTATTAGGAAATCCACAGTGCTTTCTGGGAGATCCTTGAATGGTCATTTTTTTCCTTTTTTGCCAGTTTGCCTACATGCATACTTTTGAGTTCTTCTGCACAAGTCCAAAAAATTATGTGTAAGGCAAGAATTCGTTCAGCAGTGATCCCTTGCATTGACGAAATGGTGCCTAAGAAAATCAAAAACATGATGAAAATGCAGAAAATGATCATGTTTATGTGCGCAAGCGAAGAAATGAAAGAAATTGAGAAGAAAATGCTTATAGTGTGGACCCCGGCCAGCTTCCCATATGTACCAACGCGACGCGCACGCAGCGCATGCCTCTGCTGCCTTCGGCAAGCTTTTTTGGGGTCTAAATGATTGTTTTTATTTCCTCTCTTGTTTATCGTTGTTTTTCCATAATTCCTCTATTTCAGGTATGGCCGATCAAGACAATGGACCCTAACTTCAACGTTAGAAGAGAGCGTTGTTCGTTCTTACGTTTTCTCTTCGCTAAAAGTTGATGGTTTCGATTAATCTCGAGAGGTTCTTTCGTTCAAATCTCTTCCACAAAAAAACTAATATCTATAGTCGATTTTGATTGGTGCTTCTAGCGTCTCTGCCTTAGAGAGATTCCCGCTGCCTTTCGATCTTCGTTTAATCAAATGCGCTTGTGTTTGAGTTGGAATGTCTGGGTTTTTCTATGCTCATCATATTGATTTGTTGCAGAGGTTACTTTCTTGTTCATAATAAGCTAACTCCAATTGCTCCTGCATGTAAAAGTTCCAAACAGTCATCGAGGCTCGCACAAAGAAAACGTGAGAACGAACAACGCTCTCTTCTAACGTTGAAGTTAGAGTCCATTGTCTCGATCGGTCATACCTGGAATAGAGTTATGGAGAAACAACGATAAACAAGAGAGAAAACAAAAAAACAATCATTCAGACCCCAAAAAGAAAGCTCGTCGAAGGCAGCAGAGGCGTGCGCTGCGTGCGCGTCGCGTTGGTACCTATGGGAAGCTGGCCGGGGTCCACACTATACCTTCGATCTACAACGCCAGCGCAGAGATTGCAAATGAAGTTGCCATTTTGGACGCGCGATCTCATCTGAACTGACAAATCGTCAAATCGATGTCCTACGGAAACGGTGACCTCACTTTTATTGATGTGCTGGTAAAATCAAGGAAAAATAATAAGCGAAATTGAATCAAAAGGCACCATTAAGTATGATTAAGATAGAGTAGGTCTGGTATAATGACAAGTTTATCTTATGAAAGAACACAAATGATCCCAAGGAGCTATAAGCGATGTATAAGAAAGAATGAAAGCAAAACATTGAAGAAAAAGGCACCAATCAATAAAAAGCAATCACCAAGAGAAGACGACTATTTCGCAACATACTATCATACACGCATGCGGCGTGCATTGGGGCAAAATCGCAGTAAAATCCGGTCAAAACTAAATTCATGTCTCCCGACGGTGCACCGGGTTTTGGTGCGATCAGCCATTTTGTGGGCGGTCCACCTGCGGGTGACAACGGCGAATGTCTGAGCAATTGCCGCCAATATGAGAAGTTACAGTACCCTGCAATCACTTGCTGGTTATGGCGGGAATTCCCTCGCACCGCCTCACCAGTAGTCTGCAAGGCCGGTAAACTCTAAAACACACTTTTTTGACAGTTCAAGCACAGTGTCTGACTCAGCTGGTCCAGAAGGCCATGTGATTGTGAGAAGCCCTCAGTCGCGATTTTCCCGAGCCACTGCCTTCAAAAGAGAAAGTAGAAGTGAAAGTTAAAGCTGCCTTGTCAAGTTGTACGATCCTCTGTGCGAATCATTACTTGTGACTGAACGTATGTTTTGCAGACTGTTCCGTTTGCCAACGCTAAGCACAAATTCTTTGTTTGGAACCATAAATTCAATCTATATTCGCACTACTATATTGCCCTCACTAAAATACTGTAGATTGAAATTTTCAGATACGTGTCGAAACTGAAAATTTCAATCGCGATATTGCGCAATTCTTATAGCCTTTGATAGTTTGGCTTTCTTGTCAAGCAGCACGTTCCCCAAAATTTTTACTCCTCGTCAATTGTCAATTTCACATTGAGACTGAGTGCAAGAATAGGCTCATAGCATGGGGCAGTTATTTGTACAATTATATAAGCAACACATTTGTCGCGGCTTGCGGTGTACCGCCCTTAAAGCATATGCACGGGAGCACTGCGATACGGCGCTGTTTGGCAGCGGTCGTTGTTGCGGTTGTGTAGTTATGTCGGGTGCAATCGTGGTCGTTGCCGGACCACCACGCAGACGAGCAGCCCCAGCCTGTGATAAAAGTAGGGCGATCTTCGTCATTGACGCTTCTTTTTACATCCTTTCATTATCGAGTTGGGCCTTCTGATATTGGAGTAAGTACCTGCGCCTCCACGCTTTGTGCTAATGTATTGATGGATGCGCAAGTACTGAATATATCCTAATGGAGACAACTGGACTTATGCACAGGACAGATTGAGAAGTCAAAGTTGTAATTTTGCGATTGTAACATTAGCAGGGTGGTAAGTCGTTAATCCCCATGCGGTATGCGGTCAACGTGATGGTGACTTCTTGCAATCAAAGATAGGTGAGTCAGACGATAAGACCACCGGTAGCCCGCAAAACTATTTCAATTACCCTAATTTCACGCGTATAAAGCGCGGGGGATTTTTTTCCAAAATCGACCAGTCCAGACAAGCCAAAGGAGTTTACAGCCAAAGGACCCTATAACGTGCTGTATATTGCTTGAGAGAATCGTGCGATGTAAGGATTCCTTTCCGGATTACAGTGCAGCTGCTGAGCGGCTCGCTTGAAAATTAGAGAAAGTGCGCCTTATACACGTGAAATTAGGGTATATACAAGTAAGAATAGTTACCTGCACATTGTTCAACCTTAGGTATCTTCCGAAAATTTCGCTACAGTTGTCGGGAGGAGGGGGGGAATGCAATCACAGATTAGTTAAGAGATTAGTGTGTTTATTTTATAGGGCTTTGCCAGATGGTGAAGGAAGGTAAGATTGCGGCGGCGTTGATCACGCAGCTGGATGCCACAAGGCTTCAAACCGGTTGAACAACTCCGTATGTTCAAAAATCGCTTTAAGTGATTAAAAGATCACTTCTGATAGCAGAAAACTGTCTTACAAAAGAAGGAAAATGGAGAATGCTGAGTGTGTGAACAATGACTGCAAGCTCACCCATCCTTACGATCAGGCAAAGCTCTATATGGTGAAGCGTACACGGAGGATGTTCTGTGTGTCCGAGCGGAAGGGCAGGGTGAAGAACGCAGAGCTCAACAAGCAGCAGTATTTGCGTAAATATTGTAACCTATAATAGCTATAGGTTACAATATTTGTAACCTACAGCTCAATATTTGTCACTTGCGGTCATCGTGAGTGGTCGTTTCCAGCGTCAGGCTGCTAACCCAAAGGGAAGCGAGCGACAAGCCGGCTGAAGAAGAAAAATCGTCGCATCAAAATGCTCTCTCATGTTTCAACAAAATATTCAAGTCATAGCTAGGAAGCTTCCCGGAAACGAAACGGGTTTAACATCAACAAATACGAACCGTGAAAGAAGACCGCCGTCACAGCTAGTTAAGCGGAAGCGGATAGAAATGTTGGCTCATCATACAAGACAACGATGCAAGTCTTCAAGAACGCTTCGATTGGCCACTATCAACGTAGGCTCTCTTACGGCGCGTCATAGAGAACTAGCAGATCTTCTTCGAAGACGTAAAGTGGACGTTGCCTGTGTTCAGGAGACCAGATGGAAAGGCAGTAAGTCGCGCGATATAGGAGATGGTTACAAGCTCCTGTACAATGGAACAAGTAATAGCAGGAATGGAGTCGGAATAATCGTCTGCGAAAAGTTAAGGAACAGAATAACTAACGTCGAACGAATGAGTGACCGACTCATGAGCATTAGGATAGAAAATGGAAACCGCATTCTGTGTGGTCACTGCTTACGCTCCGCAAACAGGTCGCAGTGAGGTTGAGAAAGATGAATTTTGGGGAGAACTCGACGACTACATCAGATCCGTGCCAGATGAAGAAATGCTTCTAATTGGAGCAGATCTAAACGGTCATGTAGGAGAGCGACGAGGGAGTGCAGGGAAATGCCATGGAGACCACGGATACGGGTTACGTAATGAAGAAGGAGAGCGTATTCTCGAGTTTGCTGCTGCTCATCAGCTGGCCCTGGCAAATACTTATTTTATAAAGAAAAGTAATCATTTGATTACTTACGCCAGCGGAAGTCAAAAGTCGCAAATAGACTTCTGGAGCGTTAGGCAGCACGAGCTCAGGTATGTGAAAGATAGCAAGGTCATCCCTGGCGAAGACTGCATCCCGCAACATAGACCGCTACTACTGGATCTGGATGTACCGGTTAACAAGGGAAGAAGGAAGGCTACGGAACGTAGAGTGCGCATTAAATGGTGGAAGCTCAATAATGATGCCTGCGAAAGAGCGGCAATGGAAAGTGCCTTACCAAAACTGGACAGTGATCCAGAACGTACCTGGACAATCTTGAAAACAACGTCCATCACATAGCCGGTGAACTAGTGGGCTACACTAAACCTGGACGACCGAGGCTTGACAAGGAAACTTGGTGGTGGAATGAAGCTGTGCAGGTTGTAATAAAGAAGAAGAAGAAAGCGTACAAGATATGGCAGAAGACACGAACAGAAGATGCTCGCAAGGAATATGTAGAAGCGAAGCGTGCAGCAAAGAATAGTGTCAAGGAGGCAAAAGAAGCATATCTGGGAAGACTTTACGAAAAGTTGCACACTCGCGAAGGCGAACGAGACATTTACCGAATTGCAAAAAGGAGAGCAAACGCCACGAACGATGTAGAGCACTTCTATAATATTAAAGATGAACACGGAAAAGTACTCACAAGGCCACAAGAGATAAATGATAGATGGAGATCACATTTTGCAAAAATGGCATCTAAGAGCCACGAGTACGCATCCAGTGTATACGCCGATCCTGTGCTCGGACCAGTACCCAGCATTACAGAGGAAGAAGTTTTTGTCGCCATTAAGAAAACAAGGAACGGTAAAGCGACAGGTCCAGATGACGTATCTAACGAATTCTGGAAAAGTTGCGGAAAAGCTGGAGTGACATGGTTAACACAACTGCTGAATCAGATAGTTGATACCAAGAACATGCCAAGCGATTGGTACAGAAGTACGACGGTGCCGATATGAAAAAACAAAGGCGACATAGCTGACTGCTCGACGTACCGGCCCATACGACTCATGTGTCACACGATGAAGATTTTTAAAAGAATTTTAGAAACGCGACTGCGAAGCATTGTGGAATTAGCTCCCAATCAATGTGGATTTGTAAAAGGTTGCAGCACGATAGACGCCATCTATACTGCCAGGATAATGATAGAAAGAAGCAGGGAAAAACAGTGCGAGCTGCATGCAGCGTTTCTCGATCTGGAGAAGGCTTATGATAAGGTACCACATGAAATCATATGGTGGTCGCTGCGAAAACATATGGTACCAGAGGAATACGTGCAGTGGATCAAGATGATATACAAAGATGCCACGAGCCACGTACAGTCAGCAGCGGTTCAATCTGGAGACTTCCCAATACGCGCCGGCGTCCATCAAGGTTCCGTCATATCGCCTTTTCTCTTCATTACGGTTGTGGACTCTATAGTTAAAGGTTTCATACGTCAGCCTCCGTGGGCTCTGATATACGCAGATGTCATACTGTTGATGGCAAAGGACAGGGGAGAGCTGGAGGCGGAAGTGCAGAAATGGAACACTAAACTTGAGTTGCACGGCTTGAAGATCAATGCTGCGAAGACCGAGTACATGGAGATAGGCACTCAAACGCCTGGGACCATTCGAATCGGAGACATCTCAGTTGAGAAGACCACAACATTTAAATATCTGGGAAGTCGCCTTTCTGCGGATGGTATGCTCCAAGACGAGATCAGCTCCAGGATAACCGCAGCATGGTCAAAATGGAGAGGACTCACAGGAATCATGTGCGACAAGCGGATGCCGATCAAGCTGAAGTCCCAGCTGTACCGCACTGTAGTTCGCCCAACTGCTCTATATGGCAGTGAAAGTTGGCCGTGTACGCGAAATGATGAACGAAGGATTAGTGTAATGGAGACGCGTATGCTGAGATGGACAGCAGGCATCACGATGATGGACCACATCACCAACGATACCATAAGAGCAATAATGAACGTCGCCCCGATCGTAAAGAAGGTACAAGAAAGGCGACTCCGATGGTACGGGCATGTTAAAAGAAGGGAAGAAGATCACGTCACTAAATTAGCAATGTCTGTAGATGTCCCCGGAAAGAGACCAAGAGGAAGACCAAAATTGAGATGGATGGATAAAGTTGAGGCAGACTTGAAAGAACTCGAAATTGATGAACATCAGGCTGAAGATCGTGAAAAATGGAGAAGACTTATAAAAGTAGTAGAGTAGACATGATGATGCACTGTTACGGTTTATGTTGTCTGTAATCTTGATCAACAACTTCTTTTCTCTGTTCTTTTGTGGAACACCTAGCATATCAAATGATACTGAGAGAGTAGCAGACCCCGTATGCGTATTGTATTAGGGAACAATGCAAGGATAAAAAAAAATTGTAACCTATCCATTCATATCACCGGTGTCAGAGTACGAATAGAACGCTTTTGATTTTCAAATCCATTGTAGATTTCTCGTCAGGGAAAGACAGGTGGCAGTGATAACGGAGGTAGGTTTTAACAGCTTCAAACTGCAACAAATGGACTTACGCAAACACTTGGGCGAATCCTCCGTCCGCAAGCAGTCCTTCAACTCTAAATTTGTCGAGCAAAACATCACCTTCTTTAAGAAGGTGGGGTTTCTTCGGCTTGGCTGTTTGAGCTAAAACTCTTTTGAGTGAAAACATAAATTCAAAAAAAATAATACTGACGAGCTTTTTTGGTTTCTTCTTGTGCTGCTTTTGCATCTTTTGGTTTTCCCTCTTTTCCGTCCCCCTCACCATTGACTTTGATAACGTCTCTACTTAAGGGAGCTTTCTTCTCAGTAGGAGGCTCTTTGCTCTGCTTCAAATCCTTCTTCATTAACTGCAGTGATTTGGCAGCCTTCTTCTCAACATCTGCGTCTTTAACTTGCTTCAGATCTTTCTTCTGTTGTTCTTTGTCTTTTTGTTCCGGTAGCTCTTTCTTATCTTGTAACTCTTTTCCTTTTCTTTCTGGCAACTCTTTCCTATCTTGTAGTTCCTTGCCTTTCTCTTGTCCCTGCTTTCCTCTTTTCTCCAATATGTCAGGCATTTTACCAGTAGTTTCTGTATCAAAGTGAAGTAATCGTGAGTAAAACGTGTATAACGCTTAAACATACCTAAATCCTGTTTTTTTCCTGCTGCTTGTTCCTTCTCATGTTTCTTTGATAATTTGTCATTGCCTTGTTTTGGATTATCTATACCTCGATCCAATTTGTTCTCATTCTTTGCGTTCAATCCCTCAATTTTCTCTGCGATACCATTGAGTGTAAGGACTGTAGCTATTTTTTGCTTTAAGGTCTTTTTCTCATTGGGTATCTGAAACAAACGCTTTGCGCTTGAGCATGAATAGCATACTAGGCTTACATTTCCCTTGTCGTTTGCATTTTTCAAACTATCATTTCGAGTTAGCTCCTTACTGCCTTTCTTCTTCCTGTTACCGTTTCTGTTCGGGACAATTTTCTTATGCTGCGAATTGTTCATCATACAAATTCAAATTCCTCTCCCTGTAAATCTGTGTTCTGCTGTAGTCGACCTCGCATCTCTGATAGTGCACCGTAATGATGCTAAAGAGCAGCCTTCATACTGTAAACCTTATCAGCACAGCAGCTTTGTCTGCAATGTTTCATCCACATCTAGATGTTTATAATAATAATAAAGCTTTAAGCGTCTGTCTTTTTGTGCGTGTAAGTGTGTATGTATGTCTTCACGAAATTCATAAAGGCAGTTGCAGACGGGCCTCCTCCCAAACTTTTGCACAACACACCGTGCCAAGATGTACGTTCTACGCACCAAGATGTTCCGGTCCAATACGAGGTGCACGTCATACGGGACCATGCGGCTTTTGGCTCAAGAAACTGGATCTACACCCAAACATGGATTTTTTTACCAGTAAATCAAACCATAAACTTCAGTTAAAAAATTCATATTTTTGCAAAATACGGTGCCAAAAAAGAAGTGATTGCTTGGAAGCAATTTGTTACGCTTTCACCGAAGAAACTGTGGGGATTTTCAATCGAAGATAGCCCACAATGATTATTGCCTTTCAAAGCGACCACCGAGACAAGATGAATTCAGTAACTGATTTAAGTTCGCATTTGTTCTCCTGCAAAAACGTTTTTACGCCCAAAGTTACGATCCTATATGAAATAGAAGCGAGTGGTTGCTCACAATTTGGTTATAATGTACAGCGTTGCGCGGTGAAAAAATCTTTATTATCAAGCACGAGGAGTCATAGGGGAGTAGTACCAGTGCGAACTTCTCTGAAGCAGAGGTTACTATTGTTTAAAACAATAAATTTTATTACGAGGATGTACGGGGTGTCAAATGTTGTTTGATTGTAAATAACTCTTGTAATGAAGTGTTTCGAGAAGCTTTAGGTACCAATAGAGCGAGGTCAAACTTAGATCTACAGTATGGAGCGAATAATCAATCGCTCTTCATTATTCTGGGGTTACGGTACAAACTTTGACAAGGATTTTAGGCCATTGGAGGCCATATTCTGCCTCGAACAAAACCAAACAAGCCAAAAGCTCTTATACTACGGTAATGGGAGCCGCTGTTTTCGAATTTGGAACTCCCATTTCACTGTGATGCTTTCCTAAGTCATTCCGGTAAATCGTAAAAACTCATTTCCCAGCATTTTCAGAAATGAAATTACATTGTCAAAAAAGCTGAAAACACTTGTAAAAACTTGTTAGGTGGAATCAGCATGCGCAAAAAGCCTGGTACACGATTTTTTCAGGTTTTTTGAAAAGTTTTACTGGGTGGTATATTTCACAATGGTTCCTATGATGGAAATTCTTACCAATCCTACATTAATGAAGAGCAATTGATGATTCGCTTTATACTGTAAATCTAAGTTGAACCTCGCTCTATAGAACGGTACCTAAAGCTTCTCGAAACACTCCATTACAAGAGAGTTATTTACAATCAAACAGTAGATACATTTTTTTGGACCTGTATATGAACAGGCGGATATGTGCAGCGCGAAAGAGTATAGTCAATGTCAATTACGTACTTCCTTTCGCAAGGGAATTGCGGATGCGCAACGCAAGGGCCCTGCGTGCGGACCTCCAATCGATAATGCCCATTTGAATGTTCGAGTCATACGCGCGTGAACGTGTCGCGAAGCTTGTTGAGTTTATGGAAAAGGAAGCACCTGATTGACACTGCCTGTAAAAGGTTCAAAGTTGTTGAGCAAAAGCACCATGATGTAAAAAAAGGCGTGAACGCTTCGTCTCTCTATTGAATTTTCAGTCCCTGTTGAGACCTTTTTTCCAAAGAGAAACCGAACGCATCTCACGATACTTCTTAACCTCGCAAGAGTTTTTGAGGGGACGGTCACAGATGTTGTCCAGGATATCACTATTGACCAAGTAGTTGGCGTACTGGACAGACGGAATAGGAGCACACTCCAAGAAAACACGTACCCACTGCTCGGTGAGAACTCGTATGAAGAAGTGAGACTGTACTGTTGATCATTCCATCATTCAACTGCGTGGCAGCGGTAGTAACAGCTGCTACTGCAGTTGGTATTACGCCATTACTTAATAGGATAGGAAGCAGCAGTAACATATGGCCAAATTCTTGAAGGCAGCATCCGGGCAATGTTGGGGGTTCCAGAATTTCAGTATCTGTGACGGACACCCTCGGGGCATGCTATGGCACAAGCGCCAAATCATATGGACCATAAGCGAGAATCCGTCACAAAAGGTGGAAGAACTGAGGCTTGGCCACTCGTAACTTTGCTGCGTGCCAGCACGAATAAGGTCCAACACTATTCCCCTCTCCTCCACCATGAATCTTTTTTGACTAGCCTGAACGAGTGTTGCAGCGCAGCATCCGTTCCTGGTTGGGTCCATTCCTGAATTTTCGGTCATGAAGCGAAGGCAAAAGGCTCAAATCGTAAAAAAATCTACTTCAGAGTCCTTTATGACATAAAAATGGAAAACTTTAACGAGCTAAAAAACACTCAATAGGGGAGGGGGTCGTGGCCAACATCCATGCTGGGCACAGCATAGACATTGTGTGCAGTAACACACATGAAATGACTAGGCTGTTTATTCTTTTCACTGGACGTGATTAAGTCGAATCAAGCTTAAAAGCACCGTCCACCCAAACCGAGGATGACGAGATTTGATGTTATATAATAGCGAGGCCCCTAACTAAATAATCGCTCAAGGTTCGCTGCAGACGAATAGCAAAACGGGAGAACCGCTCCAGATGGTAAAAGTGTCCACTTCATGGGCGGAGTCGGTGTGGCGGCTTCTACCTTCTGGGTTTTCTCGCTTTGAAATCCATCTTTTGCGACTTGGATGATTGCTCACCTAGGGGCTCCACTATCATATAGGATCAAAATCTCACACCTCAGTTTGGTTGGACGGTGCCTTCAAGTGTCTTCCAGTCAAAAGAGTTCTGCACTCGGTTCAAATGATCGGTCAACAGTGCTGTGACTGCCAGTATGCCTTTGGCAGCTAGCCGACTTTCGAGACAAACGAGAAGTCCTACCTCCGATAACTACGTCGTGACCGCTCGACCCAGTCGGGAAGTCTACAACACGCAAATGATCTGTCTTCACAGTTGAATGCTAACATGTTGACGAATGAAAAGGTTTCTTATCACCATATTCTAATTCATGTTACACAAGAAAGATACAGTAGCTGGTTCGCCTGAAGATCGAAGTCAATGGGAGATAGTGAGCACCCAAACACAGTTGAGGGGAGAAGGGGGAGGGGGTAGAGAAGAGCATTGCGAATTCTATAAGTATTGTAGTTATAAGACTGAGACCTGCGAGCAGATGAACAAATTCGTTTCTATAAACTTTATAGGAATTAGATAAACTTTTCAGAACCTCCCCCCCCCTCCCCTCCTATTTTCAAACTTCGGAGTTATATAATGCTATCATAACTTATAATAACGGGCTAAGGGTGTTTACGTGACTTTGTGTGTGTGTGTGTCTGTCTGTCTGTAACGAAATTCATAGAGCGAGTTCCAGCCGATGTCCTGAGCCCAAATTTTGCACAGCGCATGCTACCAGCGTAGAACTCCACCATACAAAATCACGAGCGGATTCGTTGGGTGGATCCATCAGAATTCGCAAGTCAGACGGATCCACTTGGCTTCTGGCCCGCAAAATTGGATCTGTATGAACGCTTTTTGCAAAGTCGTGGATGTGTTTGGCATGTTGATGTGCAAGACATGGACTTTAGACGAAAAAGTGACCAAAGGTCTACTACTTTACCAAAACGACGCCAAAAAGAAATGGTTGCGCAAATGGTCAATCTGCCGTGGTTTTACCTAACATTTGAGAGGATTTTTGCATAGAGATATAGCCCACGGTAATTGTTGTCCTTATGGCGACTACCAAGCCAAAAGAAGTTTAAAAACCTAATCGAGTTTGCATTTGTTCTTTTGCGAAAAGTTCCATCCACGCGAAATTACCGATCTCACATGAAAAATCCTTTGAAATGAGTAGTTGTTTACATTTCATTCGTGGTAGTCGTCATTGCACGGTGAGTTTCAAAGACATCATTAGGCGAGAACAAGTAAAGCATATAAAGTAAGACCAGTGCGAGCCTCTGCGAAGCAGAGGTGACGCACTGGTGCTATATACTCGTTATATAGCGCTGATAATTTGCAAACAATCCCACAAAGGGCATTCAAAGTGACTTCATCTCCTTTCTTCCCTCTCTCCTCCCCTTCCCCCCCCCCCCAAATTTTTCGAGATCGTCATACTAACCAAGAATGATTGAGTATTTAATGTTTTTACCTTCGGACGTGAAGATGGACAATAATCTGAGAGTAATGCAAAAAGCATAAATATCCAAGCAGTTAATCAAATACACTGATGTGAAAGACTCCGGAATTTGAGATGAGTGAAAAAATTTCTTGGGAAATGTTTCGCGTATTTTCAGATTATATTATGTAGAAGGTTCATGAATAGCCCTCAGACGAGACTCCATCAATATCGTGGACACATCGCTTCCCTAAAATTAAATGATTCTGTCTCAGCTCTTGAATGGAAGCAGAAACATTTTAGTCAACTGACCTTCAACTTCTTATCATTTTGCATTTTAACAAAACCAGAACCAAACTGCATGGCTTGTTTTGGTGCATCGTGAGGAGCTCCTAACGAGGCAAGGACCTTAACAGATTTACGATAAAGCTTAGCAGGGAATTCAGAACTTAACCCAGCCATACCAAACGTGCTGTACATCATCGGACTCGTCTTGAAACGCTGACCACAATCGTATGTCTATTCTCTGCCAAGCGACTTTCTGGGAGTAGTTATGAGCGTTTGTGCGATTTTTCAAGTATTCTGTGGCGAATGCTCCACGAAATAAGTTTCAAAACACTTGTTTGGGTTTTTAGTAAATGTGCTCCCTTGTAATCAACATAACCATAGCACTGTAAATCCGCGCCATCAGGCTGCCTTCACGGAGCTATAATCGTTGGAACCCGAAATTTCTCATATCCAGTGCTCATAACCAGGGCTCGGCACGAGCTGGCACCAGGGAAATTTCAAAACGAAGTCCCGTTTGATCTTGAAAATTTCGTACGAAGTCCCCCTTGACCTATTCTGAAGAACCGTCATTACTTTTAGATTATGTAAAAGTATGTAGTAGGATTTCCATGCATGCTGATTTCATGGAACAACTTTTCAAGCTTTCTAAGTGATTGAATCACATCTTGAGAAGTTGAAAAAGCCGATTTCTCAACTGCGGAGCAGACCGAGTAGTTTTCAGATGGCTATAAAACGCTGAAAAGAAAACATTATAAAATTGTTTTTTCTCTGTATGTAAAGTTTTGCAGTGTAGATACATTTTATGAAAAAAAAAGTTTGAAAACTTATGTGAGCAAAATGTCGGTGCCAGCTAAGTCAGATAAAAGTTCAGCACAGCTCATTGACATAAGTTTCCATAATCTTTTGGGCCATAGTTTGGGTCCCCCAAGGCGCATGCACATACCGCGTTTGGCGTCATACTATTGCGTTTTGGCTGAAAACAACGCCTTTGCTTGTTTGATGGACAGCATGCCGGTGGCATGCCAGCGGCATTCTTGCGGCCCTTCTCCGCTCCGGACCCCGGAAAACAATATCCCCTTTGCTTTCCACCCTAAAAACGATATCCGGCTTGACCCGCTGCCAGCTGTGCCGAGCCCTGCTCATAACTCCCCCCCCCCCCTCGCCCAGATAGTCGCTTGGCAAATACATATATTTGAAATGAGCGTTTTAAGAAGAGTTTGATGATGTACAGCTCGTTTGGAGCGGCTGGGTTAAGTTCTGACCATTTCCTCACCAGTCATAGGAGACATGACCTTGTTTTCTTACCTGTCTGATTATCCTCTTTTCACCCTCTCCTCTAGGCAGCGATAGGTCCCATTTTAGTTGCATTGGCAATGAGTTAGCCCATGCAACAAAATCATCATCCAAGAAAGGGGCTCTAAAAATAATATAAGAACAGATTATTTGGGTAGATTGTAATTTTATAGGTGTTCTTTTCAAAATTCTTCCTGTGCTGCGCATTTTAGTAGCACAGATGATTTTCTGCATACCTTGCCCCATTTTCCAAAAACTCCACGCCTAACCAGTGCAATAAATTTCGTAATTTACATCCCGTTTTTCTATAACTTGTACGGCTTCAAAAACCGCACAATAGATCTCCTTACTTAGCACAACTAGGCTAGGTTGGATGGTAATTTAATATTCAAATAACAAATATGTGTTTCCTACAGATTTAAAATTCTCAAACACATCCAAATTCTCTATAAACAAATTTTCTGCAATCCTTATGAACACAGCTGAGGATTTTCAAAATACAAACCTCAATTCCTTCGATAGCAGTACAGCTACCCTAGCATCTCGTCCTCCATTTCGGCATCCTAGTCGACGTAGCTCCGCTTCACACTCCTATCAATAATAACTCTATCGCAATAAAAAATATGCACATCAAATTTCATATTTAGCCATCCGGGATCTTGGGACCATCAGACTATTCAAAACATCGGCCTAATTACTAACTTACTTCGGGTATTGCATCGGCACCATCACGTTCGAATCTCGTTCTGTGACGAGCATAACCCGCAAATAATTCGTCAGCACCGCTGCCAACAAAGTAAACTTGGGCCTGCGACCTAGAAAAAGTCTCATAGCTCCAGAAAAGCTAAACTGTAAGTCAAAAAGAACTGTAACTTACTCTACTTTCTCCAAGTTGTCGTAATCTGTACCTGCACCTCTGAGAGCATAGTACAAAACACAAGCTAGGGATTCATCCAGAACAGAAAGTGCTGGCGCTGCTGCCTTGAATGCGCATGATTTATATTTGCGCTGGATTTCCTTGAAAGTTAGTTGCGTACCCTGACAACATGCTCTGCACGATCCTTTTCCATCTCTTCCAAGGAGACATCAGCTTGAATCAAGCGCCATTGTCTGCTGGAATATTTTGAACGCAAAAATTCCAGTCCAGCAATGGCACGTCTTCGATCAGTGACGATGGTCTTATGCTAAACGATCATCTGCTCACTGATCAGCGTCTCCCGAAAGGGAAATCTATAATACAAAACTTACCTCAGAGCCCCTGATAAAGGCAACATTGATGAGATCAAGGCTAAGATGTGGTGGGAATGCTAGATGCACAGTAATCGCCCCTAGTAAACTATCCACTCCTCCAGAGAATGCAATCGCAACATTTTCACCTAAAAATTGTGTATCTGCAGTTGATGCCTTCGAAATTTCCCACAATCAATAAATTAAATTGATGCTGTCCTTTCGGCGAGCATTGAGCTGGATGTATTTCTAAGTTATGCTTCTGTACTGAACTCAAATGCTGCAATGAACTCCAAAAAATCTATTAAAGGCAGCGTCCACTCAAAATTTTGCGTCCCATATTTTTGCCATTCCAAAGCCTTTCCGTGGCCCTGATTACAGTTATGAAGTTCAAATAGTCCAAGACTCCAGAAAAAAAAACCGATTCCTGAGGACCCTGTCCTGAGGGCGCGGGCGCCTTTCACTACATGGGTGGGCGGAGTCTGATAGGACCTGGGCGGGGCCTGATAGCCTTTGGCTGTCCCTGCTCCCTTATTTCCATTCAGAGACAACAGAGGACTGGGCCAAGGCAGATGCCCCTTTCGTGGGGCCTACATTCAGGATCGACACCAATCGAAGGGGTTAGATTTAGGCTGAACAGACACTGCCCTCAAGAGACATTATATGCCCTTCCCATGTTAAGGTAAATAAGAGACGACCCTAATAGAACTTAAAACAGATCCTACGAGCTTTCGAAGTTTCCTCAAAAAACACCTGGTATTTCGAGATTTCATAGCCTCGCGCTGGCTTCAGCTATTATAGCATAGTCAACGAGGCCCAATCGATATATCGATTTTCTTGCCTCTACTGCCGCACATACGCATCGCTAATTTCACATTAGGCGCATAGCAAATTTTTGAGGTTTTTTGGTTAGACGCGATTGTTTTTCTACCGAAAAGAACCAGCCTGAAATAGTTAGAAGTTTAAATCATACTCATAAGGAAATGGCGCCAAAGAACTTTTTCTGCTAACATTAAGCATTTCTTACAGCATTTCAAATTTTTGAACGAAAAGAAATAACCCCCATGCACTTTCTAAGAATTTATTTCAAAACTGTTTTCATTGTTTTATAGCTCAAAACCTAATTTTGTGATCGTGTTGAGAAGATAAAGGGGACCATACAATGTCTGCACTTTTTACTTTATTGTTTTTATTATCAGATACCAGGTACCTTGAGGAAGCATCGATCGAGTAGAAGTTACCAGCTTTTTTAAAAACTCCTCCTCTATGTCAAGCTTTGCATCCAATTCTCCGCTTCGGGATACCTGACGGACTGTTTACAAAAATGCTGTGGTTTTTGGAGAACTTACCTTTAAAAGTACATCTTTGAAGTGGACTTGTTCAAAAGAAAATTGTTGGAAAAGTTTGGCCCATGGATCCATTATGCCTTCCATATATGTTTCCAGGTAGGAATACATACGAGTACTACTGGTTTCTATTGCAATGCTCGATACTTGAGCATAAGGAACTTCATTCCAACCCGACTAAAGATAAAACAACATTTGATTGCACTATTCTGTAATAATTCTGCCTTCAAAAAACATATCATAGGACTTAACCTACAAGAAGTGTGCTCTGGACAATATCAGATATGACAATGTCTTTGCCATCACGAGTAAATACCAAACTGAGTCGACCAAAGACGTCACGTCCAACGAAAACTCGAGCAATGTCCGGCTGCAAACGATTAGGGCTGGTTGGTTTATGTAGGTTTATGTTATATTTGACAGAACATGCGCAAAAAATTCAAATTCATGGAGATGGAATATATAAATGATTACGCGGCTGAGTTTCTTTGCGGATTTTAGACCATAGAATGTACTTAACAACGAAACTCCTGCCTTATTTTGTACGGATTTCGTGTACAAAAAATATACGTACTCGGTGGTATATTACACTCCACGATCCTGATCTTTTAAGCAAGTAGTAAGCTATCGATTTTGAATCAGTCATATTCAGCAGTTCCTCTGGCTCTGAAAAGTGATCGAATCGGAAACTTGAGTATTCATTGTCAAATCAAAGAGAGTCTGACAATACCAATATTGAAGCCTATAGGACACAGTCATACGTCACTCTATGACGCAGAAAAGGCAAAAAACAATTCATAAAATTACTCTCAATATCTGATAATGTCGTTCTATGCCTTCAGCAGATTAAAATTCAAGTGGAAAAATGGAAATTTCAAAAATACTGCCTCAAAAAATGTGCACGCAGTTTGATTGTTAATAACTCCATTGATTCAAATATTTTGTCAATCTATAGGCACCGCTCTGTAGAGCTTGCTTCAACTCAGATTTGTAGTTTGGAGTTTTTTTTTTCGCTCCTGGATTATTACAGTAGGAAAATTGAGCATACAGCGCTATTGTAAAATAAAGAATGGGCGAATTTCAAGAAAAACCGGAAGTTGTGTAGCCGAGTTTCCACGCATGCTGACTTCTCACACAACTTTTTACAAGTTTTTTGAGCATCTTTAATGATTCAGTCACGTTTAAAAAAGCACAGGTAGAGCACTTGGTACAGTTTACCTGGAAGTTATGGAAAAAACGTCAGTAATTTGCAATCTTCGTATTTGAAATTAGCCTGATATGAAAGTTTTTCTGGCTTGCTGATTTCCAAAAAGGCAAAATGCGACTCTCAGTAGCTTAAACGTTTTTCATGCTTAATACCGTAATCCTACTGAAACGAAAAGAGATCAGTTATTCGCTCTACACATGATACTACGCTAAAATCAGCCTTACAGAATTGTACCCAAAGATCGGCGAAAGACCTTGACATAAGAGAGTTACCAACGATCAAGCATGTGCACATTTTCAGATACCCTGTAAAATGCGCAAACACGAACAATGACCCGAAAATCAGGACTGTTTCTGGTTCTAGCCCTTCAGAGTGTGCTTTAGAGCAGGATGTACTCGTATTCGAGTTCACAGTCGAGCAACAGCTGCTCAGATTATTCCCATATAAGAGAGAGAGAGAATTGAACTATGTTGCCCAAAGCCTTTTGTAGACGCAAAGAGCCTTTCCACGCCTGAAGAAACCTACCTTTAACGACTCGTCCCGAAATGAGAAGCACTCTTTCCTTCACAGTCTCATTACCATTCTGGAGGAATGTTGAATCCGGGGAAATTATGAACTTCCATGTCATCTTCAACAATAAATAATTTTACCAAATTGGAAAATTAACAAAACATTTCAACACTTCTGCAAGATATAAATCATACCTAGCAACAGATAAACTGCTGAACCGTTTATTCATTCACAACATTATTTGACAGCAAAAAGATAAAAGCGCAAATATGGGACAGATTGAGGAATGTCAAGCAAGGCGGGCGCTAGTAAGTTCGGTATACAGCACAACAACTCTGTGATAAGGAAGAAATTAGATATCGAAATCGTCGATAAGCACCGGCATCATACTCTCAGGTTTGGCGACTTCGATAACAAACAATTACATGCATAAATGATATTTTGAAACAGTCATAAATAATTGCATCACAGACGGAAGTACAAGAAAGGTCTCTTTACCTCGAATACTATCACTCTGATTTTGGCTACTCAGCCTAAATTTCGATATATCGAATAATAAACATGCAAGAAGATAAGAGTCAAAAAAGAAAGCTAGCTTTCTCTAGCAAGATTAGGAACTATCTTCAAAAGCAACAAAGTCTGATATGACTTGAGGGTAGCGATCAGCTGCGTTTCTAGCGATGGATCAGAACGTGTGCAGGATACAACATTCACAACGCTGGGATATAGCGACACCAATTGCGAGTATAGCTCTGCTTGAGTCGGCTCTCTAGAAAACAAAACCCTTAATCTTGAACTCCTATCAAAGAGGACGTATAACAACTTGTTTTGTGGTTTTTAATATGAAAAAGAATTTGATAAATACTAATTAGGAACGCAAGAAATTCAATTCCTTTTGGTTCATTTTCTACACTATCCCGTTTTGGGGCTTAGAACTATACCGGTAGTGCGGCTTCCTTGGTGCCCCTCGTCAGTAGTTCCCAAGGAAGCTTCAAAATTATCAAATGAAAATCTAAGATAAGATCTAAAACAGAAAATGGCGTATAAAGAACTTAAGTAAAGAAGGTGCACGTCGTTAACATGTAAGTATACGACAAAATAAATGGCAAGTGTCATCCGAGGAAATAGCGACCTCTTTTTCAAACTGGAGTACTCCCGCCGTGACCTCAGAGCGCGCTAGCGTGAGCCCAAGTGTCATGTAGGCCATGTAAAAGCGGCAAATGTATGTTACTAGGAACTCCGTACTTACGCATTATAAATGGTCTATCGAATAGTATATGATAAAGTTTACTAATAAAAATACGATATTCCCATCCATTAGTTTTTAAAGTCTTAGCTAGTTCTATTACTCTTTCCTTAAAATGTGCATAATTAGAGCAATTTCTATACATTCTAAGAATTTCTGAAGTGCAAGTATTGTACAATATATATCTGGGAATATTAGACTCCCAATGTGGATATCTAAATACTTTGAAATTATAGTCATCTGTCTTATTATACATATTAAACTCAATTTTATTATTGGAAATATTTCCGCAACGGCACACTGCGATTTAAAATGTAAAAAATAACTTTCTCTGTCTCTTGCAACTCTCTCCTTGTCCAATGCTTTATTTTATACTGTTTACCCAAACATGATAGCGGCTCTACCGCCAGCGGCCTGCTCCATTGCAGATCGCAAAAGTTGTGCAATTACACAAAGCGACGGTTGAAAAAGGATGACTTTAGATCGCCACCAAGGCAGAGAGGAAAACCATTGCTCTACAGCTGTTACTGATTCTTCTGTTCATCTTGTCAATGTTGTTCAAATTCGCTACGAATAAAATTGTGAACCACGACGAATAATTCATATCAAATGAAGACAGCATTAATTCTTTAGAAAGCTAGTGTGTTCAATTGAAAAAAAAACAGTAGGTACACTGACCTGGCAAGGCGTCCGATAAGCGAATCAACTGCCTGTAGCGCAGACGTAATTTCAGCTATTCTACCACGTGGTAGTCGCAGATCACCAGTCCCGTTCCAATCACGAACAAAATCATTCATTACCTGCCAAGCAAGTGGACTGTTGAAAAGTCAAAAATTCCAAAATAATCGAACCTGAGAGCATCTTTGCAAGAGACTAGCCACAGCCACATTCCCCAGTCGACCATTACCTTCACTTGAAGTAGAAAGCAGTGCATCGAAGCATGTTCGAGCAAGTTCTACTCGCTGCGCGTGCGAGTCTGAAGCTGGAAGTGGATGTTTCTACTTAACGTCACTATGAAAAAGTTAGGTGGGACGAGGTGTGATAGTTGATTTCTCTATATGATAGTGCGAGTTGTGTCAAGCTCTCCCTACCTAGGACGTCCGTAGGATCTAGCTGGCTGATAGATCCACGATTCAAAATTGATATGAGGCGCTGGATCATGGACTGCGGTAGAGCGGAAGAGTGCAATAACAGCTCAGACTTCACCAATTCGACAATTTGGCACTCAGTCAACTCATCTCTTTTCCGTTCGTCAGCAGCAAGTCGAGGGCAGACACTGCAATATAATTCTAGAATTTTTGAGGAACTATTCCAGCACTTACTTCGGTGTAAATAGAAACTTTTCTAAAGTGTCACAAATTGCCGGCCATAGTGGTTCGAAATGCTCAACTGAAAAATGCACAACATTGTTTTTTCAGGTATTTTGCTTTCATACCATTTTGACGTGCTAATGGAACCGATACTCGTAATATTGTTATCAAAGATGAGGCAGCAAGTTTCCAAGTCGTTGGTGATATGCAAGAATACTTCAAGTACAACGGTTGTCCCAGAAACTGAAATAGGGAATTTAGGTACACCTGAGATGGATGATAGACACCTACCTTTACGACATCTACGACTACAAGTGAACGAATAATCTCTGGATATGACGCTGTGGCAGAAAGGAACTCGACCGCCATACGCAAACATGCCTCAGCAAAAGGTACGATCCATTGCAATGCCCACTCTCGCTATAAAAGTAGGTTTTTTGGTAACAGCACAATCTAACAAAAATCCTGTCATAACCATATTGCATAATCATTAGCTAGATAAAATTTCGTGGACTTCGTATCTTCATTATGTTCTTTACTAACGTGGGTTTGTTGAGTTAGTGGAGCACTAACCCTCTGATTTCTGTTTGTCACAGCGCACGTTATGAGGACAAAAGATAAAAGATATTGCCATTATAAGCGAAATAAAGCCAGATAAGAATATATATACATGAAAATATATTGAAAAAATTTACATGAAATAATTTCACCACAACTCACATAGTCCTTTTGTCCAGAAGCAGTCATGCTGGTGGCAGGTCGCAATGTAGCGGGACTTTTCAAAGCCATACCGCTGAACTTGAGGAGCTGTCGAATCTGATCGGGTAAGGCATCGCGTAAAAGACTTCCTTGTGATGTGCACTCCTACACTGATTTCTTTTCAATTATGTTCCTTCGCAGAGACAGAAAACAAACATACATTATAGATGGATCGTATCGCTTCGCATACAGCCTCTTGGGTTGGAGACATGTGCGAATGAACTGATGGCATAACAAACGGTGCTTGCTCACTTGGCACAGGGACATTTATGAGGCTCTAAAAAATATTATGCACTTCGTCATAAGTGAGAAACAAAAGCCCACCTCGAGCACAGAAGGAAGCTGCTCAGCTTTGAGTTCTTCAACTGAGATATGACGGGCAACATGTTCAAATAACGACGGGAAAATATGCAAAAGTGTCGTAAGATGAGATGGACCAGGTATGTATGTCGTTTTATCTGTAATCTCAGCAGCGCAAATATATTCAAGAGAAAAAACTGGAAGAACTGCAAACGACTGCTCACCATTCGATGATGTTGCGCTGTTACCCATCCGTGCTAATCCACGCGATATCCGTTGCCAAGTCTGTAAGTAAAAAATGAGCTAATGATAAGACTAGGAAGAATCAAACTTACATTCCAGGATTCTATCCACTGAGGTAAAGGCAGCACTGGTGTAGCATCTTCTAGTGCGTTTTCAACGCTAGAAAAATGGCATTGAAAAATGTCGGCATCAATAGCGAACAAAATAATAAAATGGCGTTGACAAACAATGATTAACAATAGCAGCAAACAATAATCCCAGTCAAAATTTACCTGCTAACTCTCTCACGTGTGTTGATGTCCAGAGTTTGTGCCGATACCTTCCCAAGCAAAACCTCCTACAGAGCGATATGGATGAAAATTACATAAAAAATGCTACAATGCTTACTTGAAAGCTTTTTAAAGCGGATAACGATAACTCTGCATTCTGATAACAAGCTGCCCATTCAACATAAGACAAAAGTGCTTCCCAAGCAGACCCAAAGTCCTCTGAACATAAAAGGTGAGAGTGCAAAAAGTGTTTTAAAAATGCTCCTACCCAACGATAACAATGCTCTACGCTGCGCGATGAAGATCTTCGAAGCAGCTGAGAGAGTATGAATGCAAGACTCTATCCACTGCTTTTGTTGAGTATCACGAGAGTGGTGCATGAGTAGTGCACCGCTCGTTCGTTCCGTCGATGCGCTCCTTGTTTGTACGCGTACTCGATCCAACAATGGCATAATTATCTGAAGCTTACAGGGTTTGCGCGGCAAAGGTTGAGGGATACCCCAAAGACAAAGAAAAAAAGAAGCGAAGAATGAAGGGAAAACAATTGTACCTGCCAAACCATATGATTCCATGTCGCAATTCGAAGCGCATGCCCATGCGACGCTACCGTCTGGAGTAAGGTCTGACATGCGCTTTTACGAACCGAAGGACGGGAATCGGTGCAGAGCTCAGATAGACATGTGTATAATACCAACCACACCTAAAAGGTCAGCAGTATAGCCGCAAAACTTTGAGGCTATGGATCTACCTTCTCAGAAGCATCGGCACCAACTTCTTCAGTTTTTCGAAAGACAAAGTCAGAAATTGTCCACTGCAAAGGTACGTATGCATCTTCCCCGCCAAAGAGAATAAAATTAACCAACCAGCTGCGTAAGTGCAGATAAGGAAATATTATGATCAGCCATCTGTTTTCCATATCTTGCCACCGCCTCCACTAGAGCAGAAACACACTCAAAAGGTAGCGATTGCAGAAAGTCAGCAGCCACAAGTCTCAAGCCAAGGTAGCCTTGGCGTACAAGTGCTTCGTCGCAGCTAAAATTGGCAAATCAATGTGAAAAATTTGAAGTATACAAAGTATTACCAATTTTCCTCATCAACGATAGCAGCAACGATGTGAATGACATGATGCCACATGTTGGAAACCAGCTGAGCGCCGTCCGTCTGCAGCAGAGCCATCAAGCAGTCCAGTTGGCGCCGTTGTACGTCAGCTTGATGTACAGAGCATAACGAGCGCAAGGTGCTAAGTGTGAGCTGCTGTTGTTCCTGAAGAAAAAAGACTTAAAATACAAAAAGTTGCACAGACAAAGACATAAGAATCAAGATGAATCTGTGCTCTTGAGTTACTTGTGCTGTTAGCAACATTGAGATTAACTTCATCAAACATACTTCAATGCTCATCTCCGTCTTCGCTTTGAATGCCTGTTTGATTATGCTTGCCAACGCAACGGCCGCCCATTCTCGAAGTGATGGCGTTGTATGACCGCAGATCTGTTGTAGAAAGGATCAATTCAAGAAGGAAACCACCAAGAAACAAAGAAGAAAATCTACCTTGATGAAATGCGAGGTTACTCGACTCCAGAACACCTTCTGACGATGCAAATTCAAGCTAGCGAACCGAAGAAGCATTGCAAGAGGGAATAACGAACAATCTCGACCCGTTGCTGCCACTGCGACATTTTCGTCCGATAACCTGAGGTAGAAATTATTACTGCATAATTTTGTGGTTTAAACAGCTCAGTAAGACACGCACATGTCTGGAACAAGGTAAACAATCAAAAACTGACAAAACTAACAATAAAAATCTGACCTCATGATTGCATCCATAGTCTTGAGAAGCGATTCGTTTGACAAAGAGACAGCTGTGCAGGCAATTTTGTCAAACAGGGACGTCTATAATAGAACTTTGATGAGTGAAAAACTGACGGGGTTAACTCACAAGGATCGGAGTTTCCGAAAGAGCTGCTGTTGTAATGACGCTAGCACTATCTAAAAACGATTAGGTTGCTAGAAGATATGATTCATACGAAGGTTTACTCGTATTTTTGATATGAATGCAAATATCGTACTAATTCGCTCACTCACTTTGCTCAACTTCTGCTTTCTCTCTGGCGAAGATACCGTTAGAAGCCGGTTTGATAGCAAGTAACCAGGCAACGTGCTGACAAGTCAACATACACAGATACCTAAAATCAGGAACAATGTGCAAAAATAGAACGTGATGCGATAGATCTATCTACCATAGCTCATCCATCAATGTTGCATGAGCGCAAATCGAACTGAGAAGGATACGCGACGCTTGCAAATTCCGGGAGGTAAGCTGAACAGACAAATGAGCGATAAGTAAAGGAGGGAGAAAAGGACTGGCAAAAGAAGGTTACAAAGAACGAACCCATTAGACAGAATAGGGTAAAAAAACACCATGATATAATGTAGTGTAGAAGGGCAATAGAAAAGCATAAATATGTGAGCAATTCACATTAGCTAACGACACTCACCATAACCATATCGTTCCATTTGTCAGGTGCCACTATGGGGGACGGACAAGGTGTTCCGGATGCTACCACTTCGTGCAGTGTAGAGGCAGAATCGAATACTAAGTCTGACGTTGCATCTAAAAAAATCAACAGGCGATCCAAACAGTTTCAATATGAACATACTCCAAAGCAACATCGCCATTAGAAAATCTGTGCTAGAGAGTACTTGACATTACATAAAAAAAACCCCTGCCAAATTACTCAAAAATCTGGTTCAGACTTTATTCAGTAGTGGTTTGCTAAATCAAGCAGGCTGGGTAGATATTGATTACAGCATGCCTCATCACCGCGACAATAAAAGAACAGGAAAATGATGAAGTGAAAAAAGACTCACTAGCATTTGTCGGTGCATCGAAGCCGCCATAGGTTTGCAAGTAGTTCACTGATGGTAGACAAGCGCAACATAATACGTAGAGGCAGTTCAAACTAGCAGACGACAACTTCAATTTACAGCCAACAGACATTAAGGTTGACAGTCCACATAGCAACTGATCCGTCACTGTTTCATCAGTACTAAAGAAGCAACAATGACGTCATAAAACTATGCGGCATGGTTGGAGAAAGGCACCTGGCGGATAACAGCATACTCAGCGCTGAAAGCAAATTCGGCTGGCAGCTTGTGAATATCGCTTCGGCTATCAGATTGTTGTTTTTATCGCCTCCATCTTCTGAAAATAACAATTTTTGGTTAGACGGAAAGTATGGGAATCAGATAGCTAACCTTGTATGCATAACGCATCTACGGCAGCATAAATAGCTTGAATGAAGTCAACCAAGACGGATGTTGCTCGCGACACCACATAGCCATCCGGAACCGTGCCAGCTTCATGCCGTTCCAAGCTATCTAACCTGAATCAATCGAATGTTGAGAGATGCTCAGTAAAATTTCTAATAATCTCAGTTTTTCTCTCAACCTCTGAAAATCAATCCAATGGTCAAAGACTCACAATAGAGATTTCTTTGAAGACAGCTGCTCCACATATGGATGCCAGACATTTGAAAAATAAAATCCGGACGAATTCCTCGGTTGACTCCCCTCGAGCTCCAAATCCACATCTAAATTGACGAATGTTAACATATATCAAGATACTCGAACCAGTGACATTACCAGACGACAGTTTCGTGGGTTTGAAACTTTGCTGTATGACTTCAGAGATGCTACTTGATAGATGCTCCAGAACTTTTGTGGTGTTCGAACGAGCGTCAAAATTCTCACAAAGCCACCTTAATAAGGCTTTTGTTTTAAAAGTATTTATAAACACATTCTCACCTTACGATATCGGGCCTGACCACGACTCGATGAAGTGCCTCGAGTGACAAAGCACGCTGCCATCCTCTGCGATCTACGTCCACGAATTTCATGAGAGAAGAAAGAAAGATCTCGCACTCAGTGGGCTAAAAATTGTGTAATGTGAAGATCAAAAGGGAAATAAATAACCAAAGTGGGCTCACCAGAAGTTGATGATATAAGGAGATGAGGCAGAGAATAATACGTACAAGTCGCATCGCAATAGGAAAATAAGGCCTATCATTAGGCAATCCTTGCGTTGAAGAACGCGATGACGGGTGTTGGGAGGACACCTAAGACAGAAAACTTTGGCGACATACACATTAGGAAGTAAACAGCTCAGACCCATTCTATATGTCTAGATACAACAAGCATTGTTGAAACCCACATGTGCCGATTTCAAACTGGGGGAAAACAGCTTGATGACGAGAGGACAGACCTCAGTCTTCAACAACTCACAGAATTCAGGATGCTAAAGAAAACAAAGTTAACATTGCTACTCAGAATCGGTTATGTCTTACCCTAAAGAACACGCCGGGATAGCTCTTGAGAACCGACTCGATGAGCTCCAATCCAAGTGTGCGTGTCATTTCATGGATTCCTAGGAGCCAAACGCTGGGCTTAGCATTGATGAGCAAACATAGATCCTGACATGACGATTAAGAAATGATGCGTAAAGTAAAGTTCAAATTCAAGCGCACAGTGATGTACTTTGAACAACATGTATGCATCAGCAGCACACGGACGAAGCGTGGGAGGCGCAGATCGGGGCGAAGGTCTTCCTCCAGAAGATGCTACTACAGTCAGCTCGGCATTATTGAACACACCGTCTTCCTGATCATCAGAAATGATTACAACTCGAGTTGACAAACTGAAATAGAAGCAACGAAGTACCTGGATGACGCGCTCAAAAACACATCCTACTAGTTGTCGTACAGCAGCAGAAGCCGCATTAATTACTACAGGATCCTTTGCGAAGTGCAAACGGAAGCACATGACAATGCACTAAAAACAATAGCACCTTATCAGTATTCAAAGTCCAAGTGAATAGCTAAACTAACTTTCGCCAAAGTGTTCCCAGTAACCAGTAGATCTGCCGAAACTAATGGTGGAACTGTTTGTAATACCCTAAGTTCTTCGCATTCCACTTCCACAAGACCCCATAGCTCACTAACCACGACATTGGCACAACTCTAGAAAAATTGGACTTTAGCCCGCCGCACAAGAATGAAATGAAAAGCAGCGTAAAAACATCAGAGATGTAGATACGAATACTTACAGCCTCTAAGACACGGTGTTGGACCAATCGCTGAATACTTTGCAGTGCGATCTGTACAAGCTTCGCATGCCGCGTAGCGCATGCGAGTATGAGAGGATGCAACAGCTCGTTGCTGGCTGTTCGCAAATTTGTTAAAAGGTTTGATTCGCCAGAAGCAGTGCTGATATTGCGCACACGTACGACACCTGATTCAGCCGCCTGAAAAGGATGTAATCAAACACAGTCTCCATGATCGAGAGCGTTAAAATGCTAAATTTTCAATTATTGTTAAGAGTGGGTTACCTCATTCACCTTTTTGAAAGCAACACTAAGTATACTTCTCTGCGACCCACACTCAAGATACTGTAATATCTGGTCATCATGTGAACATGCTTGTATGTAGTCCCAGTACCCTCATCCGCTATGTTAGTAATGCTGGGCGGCTGCCCCCATCTGCCATGAATTGCGCGTAAAAGACGCATGATTCACGCTGCAGGCATGAATACAAATGGATAGCCTCAATACAAAATAAACGAGTCTTTTTATGGCAATGATGAGAAGCCCAAATGGGAGAAACAATCGGCACATGATCATCCGAAATTAGCACACTTTGTATGAGCCTCCACAGCAAGTGCAAATAGATATAGTATCGATGACATGACTTAGTGAGAAGATGTGAATGTGAGGAGATTTTGGAACAGCTAGAGGAAAGAAGCTTTAGAAACCTGACCTACAGCACATAAACAAGAGACCATTTTCTAAGTAAGCTCAAAGATGCTCATCAAAACCTCCCGCAAAAGCTTCTGTACACCTGAGGTCTAACCCCTTTCAAGTTAACTCATTCCTATCTACCAGAGAGCGTGTCTGGATGCGCAAGAGCCAACAAAAGCGGCGTAAAGTAAAAGGAGCTCCCAGTATGCAGCTACATAATGGGCGGCTAGAGTTTGTAAGGTTATTCTTACTATGATTAATTGAGGCAACACTCGACAATAAAAAACGGAAAATGAACGAAAGATGTGCGAATATACTGGAGATTAATAACTTGAATCTAGAACAATACAAAAAAACAATATTCTTACCTCTTTCACATGGTTGTGCTTCTTTTTCGCCTCAGTCGACAACTGCCGCAAATCTCCTAACAGCGCCTCCACAAGCTTCTTTGCATCCAATGGCGCGATTACAGACATAACGACATGTGATCTATATACTCTTCCTGATAACTGTGCAAAAAAGACACGGATGATAATCAGTAGATTTGTTTGGCTTCATACCACATAAAACGAAAGATGTATATTTAAAATGTTTATTATATTTACATGGCAAAAACTAAAAAAAAATGAGATCGAGTCACATATAAACTGAGAAGAAATCAACGTATAGACTTCATTTGGTGGACTAGGAGATAGTATTAAACTCAAGAAACCGTTCCAAAAGTGTTTGCGATAATGCGTCGAATATCACAGGTAAACAAAACGCGCTTCTAAATCTGTCTACAAACCAAAATTCACTTATTCTATGGAGCATACTTCACATATTCTCAACAACTACTTGAGCTGGCTTTGAAGCTAGCAAACCTATCACATTCTCAGGAATCCAGTGATAGAAATGGGCTATCAGACGTTGAGCACCCAGCACACTTGCAGAGAACGCCTTGATAAGTTTTAATTAGAAAACTTTTATAGCGACTCGTAGAAAAACATAAACTTACGAAATGGAGGGCTTCAAATGTGCTTGTTGGATAGTGATGAATGAGAAGCGCAATAGCACACACTGCGAGACAAGTTAACGTTTGCAGCAAAGCCCACACGGGACTTTCTTTCTTCGGAAACACCGAAACTTCGTGCCAAGCTGAAGAAATTGAAAACAGAAGATAAGTACAAGGGGATGTTATGATATGATATTGCAACCTGGCAAAAGCTCCCGGTCTGCGGATTCCAACTGAGGCGAATATGGGTAGCAGTAACCACTCATCGAGAATCTTGAAGCGAAATCTGAACGATTTTGGACAATCGTAGGGTTCAAGCTGAGAACTTTAGCTAGAAATATCACTATCAAAAAAGTCCAGTATCTTATCGACAAGTAGTGCTAAAGAAAGGTCTAGTTCAATGTCCCAACAAGGTCCGCTCGATCTCAAATACTGCCAGATAGCTATTCTGGTATACTACTAACTACAAAAATCAATGCATTCGAAAAAATATGTGCTATAGATTTTTCCAGCAGAATCAAATAATCACGGGTATTAATGTCACGCATGACTATAATCGCGAACAGCAACAATGAAAAGACTAATTCATCCAGACACCGTAAAAATCGATAACTAGGATGCAGTCAAATTTTCACTCCAATCGATGGGTGGAAGAAGGTATTATGCACCTACCTCCTTTCCAGGTATACTGCAAAAGTTGCAGTGCACCATCAATCCGCTTCCAGTGTTGAATGTGAAAGAATGCATAAGCAATGGCCTCTGAGTCACCACGTTTCAGGTAATGTTCAGGTGGGAGAATCATTGGACGCATCTCTGTAACTTGTATTACTTTCCCTGTGTATGAAAGTTTGATACCAAATTCTGCTCGACAAACACAGAGGTTTACTTTATAAAAGCTGTAAATAGTGAAAGAATACCGAGCAAATAAAGAGGAACATGCGGATTGAACTCTATGGCTCGAGTAATTGCTTCGATGGCAGTCGCTTCTGCTGAAGACAATCCTCTTCTTGTTGAGATGTCCGCAACAAATCTAAGCGCTTCCTTTTGGATGACGAAACAAGTGAAACTACCAATCGTAAAAACATACTTGTCTGCTACAGCCCTGGCTTTTAGAAGAGCAGAGGTATAACTGAGCACCGCCGACCTTGGTTCTCTCAGATCTGTAAGAGAGTGACTAAAGCAACAGTGCTGAGGATGAAAACTGAATGCTGAAAAAAAAGCGCGACTATCTGATAGTTTACTCCTCAAAAAAATACAAAAGTAAAATTATAAGGTGTGAATTCCTCCTTCCAAGCCATCAACTGATGCAAAATTGTCGGACGAGGGCGGTAGCCCATGAAAAGGGAGCACAAATGCATCCTATCATCTGTAAGGCGCATAAAGCACAGAGTCACAATGGTGATTATCCGTGTGCCGCATACGCGTCTGCCTAGCTCGGATGAAGAAATGACAGTATTTGTCAGACAGTAGACTATGGGACTGACAAGAACCGCCCCTCTAAAGAACAAAAGAGGAAGAGAAAAAGAGAGATACGTTATTGAAACAGAAGTGATGTACAAGTCGCAGAGAAAAACTCACCAAAGCCATCGTATCGAACAAGCAGAGCCTGGACATCAGCGTACGCTTGCATTTCCAGACATGCTTCGATGAGGTTCTCCTGTACACCCAATATATTGCTCATGGATCCATCGCGGATGATCTGGATAACTTTCATTGAAACCCAAACAAAATAGAGACACGTAAGACAGACAACCAAGGCTTCAAGAGAGCGATACCATTATTAAATATCGCAAAAACATGAGAAACAAAATGAAAGAAGCAGAAACAAAAAGATCAATGAAAGCCTATGAAACGTGTGATTCACAAGAAAAAGTTTTTAAGTCTGAGAGCCACTAATCTCCTGGCCACACAGTTGTGAATCATAACTTACATCCTTGAACGTTTTGATAGCTTCGCGTAATCTGCCTTGCTTCCGTGCACACATCGCCAGACGACGTCGTATGTAGATTTGCATGTGGAAGTCGCGTCCTGAATCCAAATATGGTACTATTCTATGCCAGTTTTGTATTCAATATATAGAAACTATAATGCTCTACGAAATTGATTTGAGCCACACAAAAACGCACTTCTTGCTTGTCGATAAATGTCCCCAGAACGTTCATGAGGAACTATTTGGCCAGATTGTGACTGCCCCAAACTATTATCCACAGCTTTCAATGCACGCCTCAAGTAAAAACATGAAACTTAAAAATACAGTAAACCGCAAGATTTCAAAAACCTAAACTAACCTCAACATCACTTCGGCTTCAACAATAGTTTCGCATTGTTCCTCAGCCAATAATATGAGCGCAGGAGCACAATTAGGATTTATATGCAACGCCTCTCTGGCTGCGTTTATACGAGATGCGCTGTCTCTTTCTCGCCACGCCACTTGCATGACTGTAAAGATGTTTTTATAAACATGCTAGTTCCAAAGAGACTTTGTCAAAAAATAATACAGCTTATAAGGAAAACAATCTAGAGGCTTGCTAGGTATCATGACGCCACTTACTGTCATAATCGGGTCGCCCGACGTCCTCATCACATGTGAAAAAACTTTGATGATCTTGAGCAGAGAGGTTCATATCGTAATAAGTGAGCGGATCAAGATCCATCACTGTTTTTACCCTATTGTATTCAGCGCCGCGAAATAAGGCCATAGGATTTCGCCAAACCTTGCATTCTGAAAAAAAAAATTCCTTCCAGTAAACGCAGAATAGATGTTTTCAGCCTAACGCATTTAATGTATAACCGAGAAAGTGTTCCAAAACTGGTGATACATGTGTGCTTCACTGCAAACGTGAACATCCCCCAAAAAACTTTTCACAAAGCTGTATCTGTAAGATCATAAATATTTGCAGCGAATCTTGTATACATAAAGCTGAATGTCTGTCTACTGTCTGTCTGTTTGTCTCTATGTATGTACCGTCGATTAATGACACGCAAAGACTGGACGCCTTGCGTTCGACGAAGACAGTCTATGCATACGAGAGACAGCAGACGTAAAGAGGAACGAAAGAGCGCTCGATCACGGAGACGCTGATATGTCCGCTTTGCGCGCTATGAATCGCCTATATGCGTATCGTTTGTTCCCCAGCAAGATTCCCGTAAGTACCACGTCATCTCGCTGCCTTTCGCTCGTTTGAACGCATTAACCTTGGGCAGTTCCGTAGAAATCTCAGGAGAAAAGTGTCAAAAAGAGCGAAAGGCAGCGTGATGGGAACTTTTCTGGGGCACACAGGATATGTTCAAATAGAAATTTTTGTTTCTAAATCGATTCGGACCAAATTTTGCACATATACACTTCGGGGCGGGGCGGGTGTTGTAGGCTACTTTTCATTATCGATCGATATCGTTTTTATCGATTTTCTGCAAAATTTGAGTAATGGGGCTAGAAGTTGGCACAGAGGAGTATGTGAGCACGCTATTTACAAATATATTAATAACAGGGCCGTGCGGAGCCGGGTTTGCCCTAGTGTCTTACAAAATGGCCCTGCAAACTGGACCCTTACCAATTTTGCTGATAACAGATAGTATCTAGAAGACTTTCCAGCTACACCAAAGTTTCAGCCGCACCACCTCAATCCAGCGTCCAATCTTGGAAGCTCCGTCCCACAAGCCATCCGCAGTGGGATTTTGAAGCATGCTTTCAGGATTTTGTGCATGGATTGTAGAGTGGATGGGGTCGCGGTGCATTTCGAGGGTCCACTAACTCTTATCAACAATCTGACAAGGATGCGATTTTCGCAAGCCACCTTTGAGTCAAGCTGGCTATGAAATGGGTCTTATTATGCTAACTAGATCCAGAAAAGCTGGTGACGGAAGCTATAGGATGACGACAGGATGACAAGATAGGTACCGATACTGCCAACATCTTTTAGAATCAAAAAAGGCAACAACGGGGGATTGAGAGCAAACTTTGTGTAATACGCTCTTTAAAGATTATTCTCAAAAACTGCGACTGAGATATATATCATCAAACAAGGCTGAGCCAAAGCAGTAAGTGTACGCATCGGAAGACCCGGACTTATCATAATCGGGTAGAAGTGGCCTGACTGGCGAAATGCAAAAAGAAAGTCAAACAGTCGCTTCCTTTTGCAGGCAACTATTGAAAGTGTTGCGAATGCCACTGACTATTGGAAAAGATGAAGTTTAAAAGCCAAAAACGCAGGCTCAATTTATAAAGGGTGTAGCAAAAGCTGAGAGACTGTGCTACAAATTAGCTGGATCCTCAGATTCCTCCACCCCCCCCCCCCAAAAAAAAAGATGAAAGATTGTAAAAAAGAATAATGGGAAACGTACCAGGTATAGACTTCTGGTTTTCTATTGCATCCTCATTGTCGCTCCCGTCTTCACTCACAGAATCAACAGCGTTACTAAACAGCGGGGGCAAAATCAAGAATTCTTGAGAAGAATGTGAGAAAAGGGATAACAACTTACTTTTTGAAGTACCACCATTCAAAAATCAAGATGATTCCGGAAACAAGGCTAGACGTACCAGTTAGTGCAACGTAGAACTTTGGCGTTAGATTATTGAAGTATGATGAGGCTGAAAAAGTTGTAGATGTACTGCATGATCAGCTAAACGGCCGTTCACCAGAAAGCAACAGAAAAAATGAAGGAAATGAGTAATAACTCACAAGTTTCAAGTGAAAACCAACCATTTTCAATCGACTCGGTAATTTTTAGGGGACCACGTAGTATGTACACAAGGACAATTACAAGCAAAAACCATAAGGCCCACAGATAGGTCCAAGACCAAGTCAGCCAACTCTTCACTCTACTCAAAACCATCTGAAATTTATTGATACGGAATTATATGAAAGCAAATCATACTCTAGCACATCATAAGATGAAAAAATGGAATAGAAGAACAAGCTTCGCCACGAATTCGATGAAAAAGAGAAGCAAGTTCATTCTGACACGAACAACAACAAAATTGGCGTGTAGAAAATTGGCTGCGGAACATTCTAATCTACGGCTGTCACGTCGGATTTGGCACAGCCCAGTCATCTATTCATGCCCTAAGTCCCGAAAACGTTCTTTAAAATCCACTACTGACGTCCACACAAGGAATCGATTCTTAAGCAAATTAACAATCACAGATCAGAACTATTATCCACTGAACATAGTAGGAACTTGTGCTTGTTCGTGGCTTTGAACCCTGCAGCCGCAAAACTTCCTCCTAGGAATTTAGCGCTGTTGGAAGTCAAATTTGGGATTTGAAGTTGTCTACTCAATGAAGTCTTTCCGAGAGCCTGCTGAATATGGACTTGTGGTATTTTTCAGACGTAATTACATGACTGAAAGAAATTCGATGCTATGCAAGTCTTTCAAGAAGTCAGACAAAGTTTTTTGCTGACTAGCTATTATACTTGGGTCCGAATCGAATAGAAATTCGATCATTCGAATAAAACATTCGAATATATTCGTATTCGAAATTCGATATTCGGAGTTCTTCCATTTTCGAATAATATTCGAAACTCGAATAATCAAAAAACAGAGTTTCGAATAAAATTTGAAAACTCGAATAATCAAAAAACGAGATTTCGAATATTATTCGAAAACTCGAATAATCAAAAAACGAGGTTTCGAATATTATTCGAAAACTCGAATAATCAAAAAATGGGGTTTCGAATAGATTTTATTCAAATGTTTTATTCGAATGTTTATTCGAATTCGTATTCGAATGACTCCGTATTCAGATTATTCGACTTTGTTGCAAAGCCAACTGCTGAGTATCAAGCTCACTTCGTCCGCGTTTTTTTCGCAAAACTCGGTAATGCATCTTTTGCAACCGTTATACCTTTGAACTGTATGGAGAGTCGCATTCTTACGACTGCTTGCGACACTAAAAAAATGATAGGTGGATTTTAATTGATGTAGAAAGTAGAGCAAGCCCTTTGCTTTTACATTGTTGATGCTGATGAGAAATAAAGTTAATTCTGGTGTACCTCAGTCTCTTTCAGACCATCTGAAGAAGAATCTTTTGGGCACAGCATAAAAATTTATATCGACTGCTTTTTACATCGTCCATAATGGGTAAAATATGACTTTCTTCTGATGTATAGACTAGATGCCGACCGACCGACTTTATCGATTTTTGGGGAAATTTGAGCTGTGGGGCTGAGAGTTGGTACAAGGGGTAAGTGAGGGTGCTGATATGGATAAAAATATACTTTATAAATTTTATCGATTTTTGGAAAATCTCGAGCTACGAGCTTGGGAGTTGGTACAGGGGGTGAATGAGGATGCTCATTAGAACCGAAATCTATTTTATCGATTTCAGCAATTTTTGGAAAATTTTGAGCTAAGAGTTGGTATAGGGGATATAGGGGCTGATCATGATTGGATCGGCTCTAGCCAGATATGTCGGCAAATTTGAGATGTGATTGCTTTACTTATTCGATAAATCATTCGAATATTTATTCGAAATTCGACTTCCAATGTTCGAATATATTCGACATTCATTCATTCGATATTTTTGATTTTCCGAATTTATACGAAATTCATTCATTCGATATTTTTGATTTTCCGAATTTATTCGAAATTCATCCATTCGATATTTTTGATTTTCCGAATTTATTCGATATTCGTTTATTCGAAATTTTTCCTTTTCGAATTTATTCGATTCATTCATTCGATGAAAAATTCTCGAATTACCCAAGTATACTAGCTATCTAAAGTTCACTTGCTAAGTTTGACGGGTTTTGGTGAATAATTGATAAAATATCCGCGAAACTGCCATTAGTTGCATTTTCACTGCTTTTTGATTTCAAACATGTATGTTTGAGTCTATCTCAAGATAATAAAATTAAATGGCCCAAGCAACAATCTTCTGTATTTCCTCATTTAAAGGCTTCTTAAACATTACTAGACGAGGAAAATGCGCTAATTTGGTGTCCATCCAATAAAAATCGCTCCTCTTCACTTACACCCCATTGCTCTTTAGAAAATGATGCCTAGTCCGACCCTAGCATGGGGCATTCGAAAAATTGTGACGATGGCGCGGCCGTGCGCGACACAGACGCAATTCCGGCAACCGCATTTTCTTGGTCTCCATCTCTACTCGGTTTTTCTGCGTGTGTATAGTATGTAGTATTTGGGCACTGGAAGTTATCCTTATCTCTACTCGAACGTTTTTCTGCTTGTGTATATTGGGCACTGGAAGTTACTGAGTTAAGTACAGTCGGTTTCGTCCCGGATTAGGCGAGACATTCTACGTGGAGCAGCGCATGCGCATCGCTGGAGGCTTTGCGAGCGCATAGCGCTGGCATTTTGCCAAGCAAGGACTAAGGAGATTGAAGAGACGCAGACATGGGTTCTCAGCAGGATAGGATATACTGTAGCTGCGAAACGGCGCGAGCTGTTGCGAGGCGGACTCCCGCCAATCCAATTTCCGCCTAAAGCGGGCCGAAACTTACTGTACAGACTCTAACATTCGGTGCGTGCGGCGCTTTGTAGTGCGCACGGGCCGGACGAATGCGCGCGGGCCGAACGATGAATGCGCGCGGGCCGCACGGTATCGAAAGCGCCCCGTCCGCAAGCTAACAGAGAACAAGTCTTTCATAAAGCTTCTTTTTCTTCTTTCGTCGTGCCGTGAGCATTCTCAACTTCACAGTTCAAAAATAATCCCGAATTTACAAAATTCGAAAATTTGAGTTTGAATCCATAGAGTTCAAAATTCAATTTTAGCACCCTTTGGGAGGCTATCGAGGGATAACCTTCGTTAAACCGAAAACTTCTCATGTTCCTGCGATTACTCGAATGCCAAGAAGTGATAAGCCGGCTTCACGACCTATGGAGCAGCCTAATCACAGCGTCGTACCTCACGCGGGTACCTATTACGCTTATAGCGAGTGAGAATTGGAGGCGCGCGGGTGGCACGGTGAGAATGTAGTGCGCGCGGACCGTACGCTAAGTATTCAAGACGCGCGGGCCGCACTGCTGACTATTAACAAGCGCGCGCCGCACGCACCGAATGTCAGAGGAGATGATGTCTTTTTATATGAGTATTTTATGCTCCTATGGGCGCAAAGACCGCACCGTCGTCCTGATTTCATAAATAACCTATACAGGGGCTTTCAATCTGAGTGTGACGGTCGAGTGGCTCAGGTCATCGCGAACCGCCTCGCTTAGATCTCTCACACGTGGTACGATACCGCATCCGCTAAGGTCTTCGCGGTATATCGGGTGCAATAGTGTACCACGTAGGAATCTCTCACAGCTCAGACAGTTGGAGCGGGCAGCGCGCGCGCAGTCACACGGTGGCGCAACACCCAGTGCGCGGGTGGCGGGACATTGGATGCCGCGCCGCTGGTGTTGGCCCGCGGATGGCTGCATTTTTTCAGTTTTTCATTGCGCTGTATACCACAGGTCTTGATAATGAATTCCACGCTTCATACGCCAAAAAATATGAATTCGTATTTGAATCCAAAAATTCAGGTCCAGCATCCTTTTGCAATGCTCCGAAGGCTAACGCTTGGAAGCAAAAAACAACTTCCACTTCTGCGACTATTCATAAACTAAGATGTAATATCTAACCTCTTAAATGATGAGGCAGCCTGAAGACTGCGTCGTACACTGTGCGGGTATAGCTTGTGCTTACAGCATGTGATAATTGCAGGCGCGCGGGCCGCACGGGTAGAGTATAAAGGCACGCGCGCGGCGTGCTACAAAATTAGGCGCGCGGGTGGCGAGATCGAACATAAACGTAGCGCGCGGGTCGCGGTGTTGGCCATTAATACGCGCGCCGCACGCACCAAATGTCCAGGATGGCACGCGTTTGGCGTAGTGCCGGACACGCCCACAAATAAGGCACGCGCTTTGCCGCATTGACCATAAACGCGCGTGCGCCGCACGCTCCAACTATCTGAGAGTGGTACGATACCGCATCCGCTAAGGTCTTCGCGGTATATCGGGTGCGTAGTGTACCACGTAGGAGACCCAAGCGAGGCGGCTCTCGAGGATCTGAGCCACGTCGACCGTGACATTCGATTGAAAGCTCCTGTACATTTGAGTGGGTCCTGCAAGTTCAGTGACCGCCAAAAAGTTGCGGGAAAGCCGGCTCCCTTTTTTCATCGCTCATTTTTGGATGGAAAACAAAGATGTAAAAATGATTGGATTGCATGAGATGATAGAGCTCTTCAGGGGCTACAACCCACACATTGCGCTTTCTGGAAAGTATGTATTTTAAAGTCTTCAAAAATCTTTTTCTAAAAAAAAGTCGGAAAATGGCCCGCGCGGACAATAATTCTTCGGACGCAATTTTCTAGGTCTTTCTTTGAAGCAAAAACAGAAGTTTTCCTGACAGATAAGCATACTATTTTTAGAGCTCATCGAGGACATTTATCAGGTAGTGGTTACTCCAAAAAATACTCAAGCTTGAATTTTATTTTGCTTTTTTTCAAAAAATAACTTCTAATTACCTTTTTTTCAAGCCAAATTTCTTCAAATGGAAACCTACTCAAAACAGCTCAGATAAAATGGATGCCATCCTCTATGCATCGGACGAAAAAGAAAATTGACAGTTTCAAACTTCTAGGATGGAACTGATAGCGAAAGGAGCTTTGTTAACCCCTTAGGTGAAAAATCCTTAGCCTACCACCAAATAAAAGAAAATTTTCGCGTTCGAAGTATTATTGTCCGCGCGGGCCATTTTCGAACTCTTTTTTTAGAAAAAGATTCTCAAAATTCTTGGAATACACATTTTCTAGAAAGCGCATTGTGTGGATTGTAGCTCTTAGAGGCAGCGTCCAGGCAAATCTGGATCTATGGGACTCTCACGTGAAAAGTAAACTTGAGGCCCTAAAGAAGACTCTGTCCAAGCGGAGCTCAGATAT